CAAAAAAACAAAAAAACAAAAAAAAAACAACAACAAAACAACAAAATAAAACCCGGCGGACCGCAAATACAATTTTATGTAATGCAGGAATTTAAGATTAAGTTTGTATTGTTAAAAGAAGGAATGCTTGACAACCATTCTGTTTTAGATTAAAATTGTATTACAGAAGTACGTCCGATATCTTAGATTTGTTTGTCCCTTTTTGACGTTAGAACAACAATTTTTATTTTTGTGATTAAGGTATACTTACAAAAACATGTGGTCGCAATACGATACTGTGAAATTCAATTCAGTTAATTCCTTTGGACAGCTGAATAGAACAACCAAACAATATATACAACAAAGTACAAAAAGAAGAGAAAATACAAACAACTCGTAAATACGTTCTATAAAATAGTTGAACCACAGATAAATGTACGGTCACAAGCAATATATATATATATATACTATTAAACAACAACAACAACAATTGTTGTAAGCAGTACAATGGTATATGCAGTCTGCTGATTTTTAGACAAGATATAACGGAAACGTGTGCCAACAATGTGTCAAGCTAAAATTACTAAATCATGACTTTGTAGACTATCGTACATCTGCCATTAACTGATTATTTCTATATTAAATTTTAAAAAAAATGTTTAAATATTTAAGTACTAGTAATAGTACTAGCTATACCAGCCAATCTATCATATTATAGAGAATAATTGTATGCAAAATGTGGAATGAAAATGTGTGTTTATTATGTCATTGTTAAATAATTGAGGAAGTGATAGTATATCAATGTCAAATATTTATGATAAAAAGATAAAATGATATCATTTTCTTGTGCGCTGACTTTAAACCAGATTTTTTTGAAAGAAATTAATTTATATACTGGTTATTATAAGATCGGTCGAGGTGAAAACCTTTTATTCTGAACTCATACATTTCTCAAGTGATTTTAAACAAATTTTTATCGAATTATTGATACGATTTGTCCTTGCGAATATTGATGTCAGGGTTTTGTGGTTTGATCTTTTTTTTTTTTATTTTTACCATATACAGTGGTTGTGACATTGGTGATAGTTGTTCTATAAAGGTTTGGTTGAAATTCCACAAGAAATACAAAAGTTGTGTACAGAAGAACATTTCTCCCTATAATTAATATCATTTTTAGTTTATTAGTCTATCTAAGTCGTATGTATGTATGTCTTCATGTACACACATGTATAATAGAAATACACATTCAATTAAACTTCAAATACATGTAAATAATCATTCTTATAAAGAATTATAGGACATTATACATGTAATTATGCATGTTGTAGCAAACATGTAATAAGTGTCATAATATACGATCCAATATCTTACATTGGTGGAAAAAAAAAATAACCCAATATCATTGTAGGGAAATTTTTTAAATAAGTGCTGACTAAATAGCGACCATGTAAGAATAAGGACTGAGTAAACAGCGAGCAGTGCAGACCATGTCAAAATAAGTACTGACTAAATAGCGAGCAGTGCTGACCATGTCAAAATAAGTACTGACTTAACATCGAGCATTGCAGACCATGTCAAAATAAGTACTGACTTAATAGCGAGCATTGCAGACCATGTCAAAATAAGTACTGACTTAATAGCGAGCATTGCAGACCATGTCAAAATAAGTACTGACTTAATAGCGAACACTGCAGACCATGTAAAATAAGTACTGACTTAACAGCGAGCATTGCAGACCATGTCAAAATAAGTGCTGACTAAATAGCGAGCATTGCAGACCATTTTAAATAAATACTGACTTAACAGCGAGCATTGCAGACCATGTTAAAATAAGAACTAACTAAATAGCGAGCAGTGAAGATCATGTCAATATGTAATGACTAAAAAGCGAGCAGTGCAGACCATGTCAAAATAAGAACTGACTAAATAGCGAGCAGTTAAGACCATGTCAAAATAAGTACTGACTAAATAGCGAGCATTGCAGACCATGTCAAAATAAGTGCTGACTAAATAGCAAGCAGTGCAGATCATGTAAAAATACTGACTAAATAACGAGCTGTGCAGACCATGATCATATAAAAATATCATTCTTCAAAGTTGTTGTTGCAAACTCATATTTCATAAATTTGATATTACTTCAGATTATTTATTTTAACTTCAGGCAGGACTTAAAACATTGGACAACTATTTTCATTTTTTTGCTAAGGTTTTTGCTAAGTTCTAAAAATTCAGGCCAAAATATCAGTTTATAACTTTAACTGATGTTCAAGTTAAAGGTCCATTATTTCCAGAAATGCTTTTATCTTTATTTCTCAAAAGCTTTTTATTTTTGGTGTCCTGTTAAAGCTATCAAAAAGTTACTCATGGCCAATTACCTGACCTATCTTTTGCTCCTATTGCATTTTGACAATTAGTACAGTTACAGTGATTTAGTATTTTTTATGGAAGTCAAAATATTAATTTGTTTACATTTTGCTACTTTCATGACAAATAATTTCACATTCTGCACTACTTTCTTCAGGTGTTAAGTATCTAACATGCTCTAAATCCATCATTTTAACGTTATAAAACTATTGTATAAGGAAAAATTTATTTAATGTGCCTTTAAGATTGTTCAAACACTTCGACTGCTAGCGGCCGACAGAAACTTTACCCATGCGGCTTGCGCAAACCGAAATAATTCTGCACATCGTTGCAGTGTTTTGCGCTGTTCACTTTTTAGTCAGTATGCAAACTTTGGTCAGTAAAGCCCTTTGGGACTGAATTGTCTTAATGTTCGTCTTCTGCATTGCTTCGTCGGGCCCTTGTATGTGATTTTCTTGTTGCTCTGTCTTCCTTTAGGACATTGAGTACTTTTGTTAAGGTCATTGGGTTTACTTTTATAAGTTTCTACATGATCATTTTAGTGTTTTACTTATTTAACCTTTTGAAACCATGACAACTGTTAGAATTTCACTTGGCGGAGATTCATTTTATTTACACTGTCTCGTTTAAAGGAACATGGTGGGGCTAAGAGCGAGGTTTGGTGCACCATTAACCGGTTTAAACTCCCCAGCAGTCATTATTATTATTATGCTGCTGACCGTTCCAAGGCGGCGCCCCTCTGTGTTCCTCAGATGTATGTCTATGTTGTTTCATACTGTTTTGGTGACACTTTTGCTTGTGTCCCTTGTTGTTTTCTCGTCTACGGTAAGTATCTTCCCCATTACCTCTAGTTTTTATTTCTTTGATTAATTACCCCCCCCTTCCCCCGGTCTCCTGTCCCCTTCCCCTTTGTGGGCCTATTATTCTTTTCTTTGAATTTCTAATCAGTTACAATTTATTTATCATTTAATGATTAACCTGTCCGTGCTCTGTCTTTGCCCTGCCCTGATTTTGTTTGGGGTCCGCCTGGGCTCCTTGCCACTGGTTCTTGTTGCTGGATCATATGGGGGTTGCGTTCATTGAACGCCGCCTTTCCTTGTTGATCTTGTTTATCATATATTTGGAATCTTCCATTCTGTCTCGACTGATTTTTTTTAAATAGCATAGTAAGGGCATTTGTTTCAAAATGATATACATGTACCCATGGTACCAGAAGATACATTTACAATGTACCAAAAGGCACGTGTAGGCGTTGATATATTTCGTTTCCTTAAAGTTGCATTTGTTTTTGTTTGTTTTTTTTTTGTTCGAGCGAACTCTTTACCCACTAGAACACGTCATTCGACTTAATACCACAAAAAAAGAAGATCTGAAGTACACCTCTAGAAAGATGGTTTAAGAGATAATTGTCTGCACAATGATTAAAAACGTATCGTATGTCCAATTATATCGGTAATCCTTGAAATGTCATACATGTATTAGATTTTCGAGGTTTTTAGTGCTTGAAAGGTTGCTAGAAGTTTATATTATTAGTTGTAAAGATTTTTGACATGTCATATGGCCCTATATAAACGGTTGTTTGAAAATATAACCTAAGCCGCTAGGCGCTAGTAGTTTTCACTTCGGATTACGACAGTAAGCCACATTGAACTTACTAGAGCACAGTTCAGCCACCTCATTGTTCCTGAGCAGGCTGTCAAGAAGTTTACCCGTACTAGTTGCCTCCACTTTCGCACGGAACTGAAACTTCTGACATGCCAGAGCAGAGGTACAGTGCAAATGACCGAAGAAAAGATTTCATGATCACTCACAACGGAAGTGACCTGCACCATCCGGGAATCGAACCCAGGTCGCCTGATTCAGAGGTAGTCGGACGGCTTATAATAAGATAAAATGGATTTCTGCGTCTCAAAGCGATGATTTAATGCATCACATCATGACAACAACAATGGGTTATCTACTAGTTATGGCCAATTAATATGTGAAATATGAACTTTGTGATGAATAGTTTTCAAGATAATCAGCGGAAACCATTCTGACATTTAAGGCCCCCGTGACCTTGACCTATGACCTACTGACCCAAAAACCCTTACAAACGTTTTTTTCAAGGCTTTTATGACCTAATAATCGTAACAATTGTTACTGCTTCTGGAATGCTTCTGAAAGTCCCGATAATATTAAAGATACATGCCTCTAGATGAGCCAAAATATTTCAAGAAAATCAAACAGTTAACTTGAGAAAAATTTAAGTTTTAAAGGAAAGTAAAAAAAATCAAGTTCAAAATAATATTGTACATGCTATGTGCAATTAATGATTGTTTTTGCAGTATTTATCACCATATTTCTACTGCGTAATTTATGTGGATTTAAAAAATATGCCGTTTGCAATATATGTAAATTACTTTCTTTGTTCACTCCACAATATTTTACTTAAAAATACATTTTCAAAATGTTCATGAAAAGTAGCATGAATCTGGATGCATGCTGCTATAATGTGAAATATATTTTCATGAAAATAACCTCCTTTGAACAAAAATTTATTACATATTAGCCTTAAATAGTATCATCTTTACCTATGGAATGTATCGTGTTCCAAACTTGGGAATACCCCTGTCTTTATATTTTTATTTGCATTTCAACAGGTCTTATTCACGCATTGATTGTCACTTTGAATTCAAAATATGACAAAAGAAACGGGCGCGATTTCAAGGAATTGTTGAGATCGCTCATTAATTAGTAAAAACTAAATTTGGAAAAATGGGTATTCCGACCGACACATGATTATTTACACACTTCAAACGAAGTGGACTGGATAGTATATGAAACTAAAATGTACTTGTAATGACGAATTTAAACAAACGTGTTTGCTAAATGTAAGAAGTAGTCTTAAATAAATAAACTTAACTAAAACGCAATGAAGGACAAATAGATTTAAGAAAAACTGGAGAGAAGATATAGATCTAGCTTAAATAAAAAAGTTAGTTATGGAATTACAAAGACAAGTGTCAACTTCGTCTAGTAACGGAGGTGATGCAGATGAACAAATGGAACTTACACTAAATAACATAACTAAGCTTCAAGGTGTGTTTGAAGCGTATGAGTTCGCGGATTATAATGACATTCCTATAGAAAATATTGAGACATTAGAAGAACTCAAAGAAAGGTTTATAATGCATCTTAAGAAAAGTAAAGGAAGGAACAGAAAATTAAAGGTAAAGCTGTACCAGAAATATCGATAATATAACTGAAACTATTAGATCTACTACTTTGTACGAAGTCGCTCCATATTTCTTCTCTCTTTTTTTGTGGGGGAAAGGGTGTCTTTAAAATGCATGATTCCGATGTTTTTTGGGTTTTTTTCTTCATTTTTTTTCATAGAAATGTTTTGTTTTATTTTTGGAGTGAAACCGATCGAAGCACGATTTCTTGGATTCTTTAAAATTTGAAATGCAATGCATATAATATTCCGAATTCATTTGGTTATTTTTTTCATTTTTTTTTCAGAAGTACTTATGTTTTGAATGAAAGCGATCGAAGTTGTTTAGTATGATAAGAAAAACTGCAACATGAACTCCCAGTTATCATACAACTCTCTAAGAAGTATTTTTTCTAGGAAAGACAAATTAATCTCTATCTGTATTTGATTTAACAAATATTGCGAAATTGTATCTGGCACTAATTTGACAACTGTAAAAGATGAGAATAAAAGAAACTAGATTTTTTTTCTTTCTTGATTTGAAATAAGTTTCTTTTTTACTTATCCAAACCAAACTATATTCTTATCATGACATTTGTGATAATACAATTGTTTGCAATAAGTTTAAAGCTTAAATATCATAAAATGAATATACATTGTGCATGCACATACACATTTCAAAATACGTGATTTAGATACTTGATTGACCTTCAAACCGGTTATAGAGCACGTGTACATTACATACAAACATATCATATTTCCAACACCAGTCGACATTGTCCTTGTGCTCATTATTATACCCAACCAATCAAAACACCGCATTGTGTTTGCTTTCAAATGAAAATTAAGTATGCCTTTCAACATTCCTAAAATATCTATTTAATAATCAACAAGATTTCAAAAGCAGACGACACGGGTGACATTTTGGGTCGTTGAATCAAGGAAGTGACATTGTTCCAAACGTCAAGCATTATTAAAAAGTTTAATAACAAAACAATTTATTATGCTTCTTTAGCTGCTCCCCGCTGCACATTTTATGTCATTGCAATACATTAACAGTCAACGCGTTGGCTTTGAAAAAGGTCATATTATCGGTTGAAAAATATGAAATAAACATACTCGATCAAACCAAGTCGCAATGTCCAGGCATTAGATTTGTTGATATGTCTCACGATGGATCCACATGTTAAAATTTTCCTTAATGCATTTATGTATATGTATACATCATATAATGATTTATAATTAGTTACGCATTAATACAGTGTTTGTTCTAAATATTATTCAATCTTTGGCGTAATTCCGGGTATATCTTGTTCATCCCTCGTATATTATGTCCAAGACTTAATTGGCAACTTTATATTTTTTAAAAACTTTTTATTATTATTATAGATCGTATTGATCAGTTATGATTAAAATCTCTCCGTCTTATGTGCATGTATTTACTTGTTAACAACTAAACATATAGGGGCCCAAAGCGGATCAAAACATAGCAAACTGCTAGAAGAAACAATAAATGTTATAACACTGTGCACATTTATTTTTCAGATCGAAAAGAACATGCTGCTTGCCGGTAAAGATGACGCGAATAGGAGAAAGAAATTAACGTCTGTTATGACAGACATGATGTCCATTATTCATAAACAAGGACCAAATATGGTACCAAGAAGGGACAGCCAGTTAGTAGAAGGTTTACTCAGAACAGAGGGGACAAGCGACAATCTAGCTGACGACTGTAGAGCGTACATTGACGATCTGGAAACTGGAGAATGCGTTATGATTGTTGCAGGTAGATATCTTTGTTTCGGTTTACCGACAGAAAATAAGAATATATGCACAAAAGCTAAAGGATGTGCATGATAAATAGAATTCAAGCAATCCATGTAATTTTTTTTTGTGTCCCTTATTTTTACAACAATTTATTCTCCTTTTATCATCATTTATTTTGCGTTGTTCATTATCAGTTTTCTCAATTTGTACATATGCTGCATTCTATCATTTGTCAAATTTTATAATATGCCCCTAGCTTCTTTTAATTGTCGAATTCGACAGATACTTGTAGACCTATATGAACACTGTCATAAAACTGGGTAAAAATATATAACATTGTGTAGAAATAAACAATTCCACTTAATCTCTTAGGAAGTATATGCACGATCAGTGAAGGTTTCGGATTTTTAAAAAATTGAATAGTTCAGTTATTTCATAATAATATATCAAAATGAAACTTAATGGAACAATAAATTCAAAATCAGAAAAAAACAACTTTTTAACTCTTTTGATTTCAGGAGAAACATCAGCTGGAAAATCTAGTGTTCTCAACTTACTATTTGAAGATGACATTCTTCCTGTGTTCAATAATAGTTCCACGTCAACAATAACCATCATACGCTATCATAGACGGAAACATGCACGTATACTGTACAAATCGGACAAACCTGATACAGAGTTTGATCTGGACGAAGAAGGTCTTAAAAAGCTCCATGCAATCGCCTTTATGAAATCCGCCAGCGAGCGGGAAAATCACAATATTAAAGAAGTTCAAGTGTATTTACCTCTGCCTTTGTTGCAGGTACATTATTTAAATACTTATTATATTTTACAGAACAATACAAGTAATGTAATATATACATCTTGAATTCGTCTGTTAAAATATTGGACGAAAGTAATTTTGCATTTTCAGTTCAGCCACTCGTTTTTTTACCTAGTATTAATTAGAAAATGAACGTAAGTTTTTCTGTTTGTTATTATTTTTTCTTCTTTTTATAAATTTATATACTCTCCTGCGTTTTAGTTATATAAAACAAAACTAAATTCTATTGACGATATTTTCAGTCTGGTCTGGTATTTGTGGATACTCCAGGAATTGGCGAGAATGAGTTTTTGGAATTAGAGTTAACCAACTTTATAAAAAACAACACTATCCTTGGCTTTATGTACATCATAAAAACGGACAATGCAGGCGGAGTACAAGAAGATAGGGTATGCGCAAACAAGTAGAGAAGAAAATACTTTTGATATTAATGACCTCTTTTCGAGGCTTTTATTTATAATACTTTTAGAATACTTTTATTTATCAAACATATTGACAGTCATCATATCAAATACCGGTACTAATATTCTAGTTTTATATTGTTATTGATATACTTTTTATTAAGTATGCTTCAGTATGCTAAATGCTTCTGAAGATTTCAGCAAGACATTTCATTTATTTATTTAATGATTGATTGATTGACTGACTGCTTGCTTGACTGATTTATTGATTTACTTGTCTTGACAGAATGGAAACAATTACACATGTAATAACATTAACTTTTAATATTTCAGTTACTTGGATTGTTGAAGATAGTTTTAGAGATGCAAAGATCAGACGAAAGCTCCAAACACCGACATATAAAGTTTGATCCTAAATCTGCACTTTTTGTATGTAATCGAGTTGACCTTGTTGAGAAAACAGAACTTGACAAAGTGAAAGCAAATGCAATAGGTAAAAGTTATTCATACGTTTTAAGGTCTTAATTAAAATTATAGCATAAGATCTATAACCAAATAAGAAATTGTTCACATTTTTACTTTGCTTGCATTGCTCTCAAAGGGTTTGTCTTTTTTGTACGTATAAAAATGTAAGCAAATAGCCCTAGCAAAGATCCATGTAAATGATATCTGGTAATTGTTTTTATTCTTGCAGTATCACATATATACGGGTCAGCATGCCAATAGCACGTTATATTATGTTTGTTCATAGCTTCATGATTTCTCCTTTTATGTATAATATCTACTTTTATTCTTTCAAATTAAGAATACCTGCATATCGATATCTGCAATTTTTATAATTAATACGGAACTGTTTTTTTAGATAAGCTGTCCAAATGCTGGCCGAACTTTGACGAATCCCAGGTTGTCTTTTTCTCCACAGAGAAAGCATTACGAGATGTCAACGCTGACAATGACTATATCAATGACAATTACAAACAGTTTTTAGACAATCTGAAAAATCTCTTCATTTCTTCACTAGAAAGGAGAATAAAGCAGTCGTTCAAGTAAGTCAATGAACAGACTGAATTTCCAAATTATGTGGCATTTAATTGAATAATTTCCTCTAATTTGAGACAAAAACAATTCGGGAGTTATACATGTATCTACGCACTTTGTTTAATAATAAATTGCTTTAGACTTGAAACGTTTTTCAACATAATTCAGGTGTGATAAAGATTTTTACATGTGCGTTTACTACAACTAGTTTAGATAATTCATTATTATTATTCATTTATTTTAATAAATGTAAAGTAAACTTTGCATGAAATTAACGTAATATTAAGATGTCCAGAACTTCAATTATGACACTTTATGAACTGTTTAATTATAAAAGAAAATTACAAAAAAGTAAACAATATCTATTAATTATTCATTTAACGTTTTACAGATGGATTGAAAATGTTCTTAAACGTACAATTCATCATCTGAAGACAGTAGTTAGACGTCTCGATCTTTCAGATATGGATCTGAAAGATAAATCTGAAATAGCAAGAGAAAAACTGGCAAAATTGCGGTGTAAATCAGAATCAGTTCTTGAAGAACTGAAGGCAAAACTTGATGTTCAATCTAAAGAGATGTGCAGCGAATTGAGAGAATACCTGCTTTCTGAACAATGTAAGAATAAGCTGACACGCGAGTGGTCGGCTGGACAATTGCCAACTGTTGACGCTGGATTAGGAGACTGGCAATGGATTCGAATGAGAATACACGAAGCTTTCTATGACAGGATTATAGAATGTGTTGAAGATTGGAACGAAGATGAAAGAAAAATCGAATCTTTGGAAGAAGAGCTTTCCTTTGGAATGAAGATAGAACTGCAACTCCTAGAGGAAGATCTTGCAGAAATCGAAAAGCAAATTCACTGTGACTCGTCGTCGGCTTCTTCCGATGACTTGTCTAACTTATCGAAAAACAGAATGAGTAGACGAAGAACTTTGCCAAGAATTTCACAAATTAGGACAAAATATCTTCTCTCTGAACCTAAAATGCCTCTCAAGTTGGCGGGGAGAATTATAAAACCATTCCAAATGTTAATGAGTCCGATAAAGAATAAAATGAAAGTAAATGAATACAAAGATGATCCCGTGAAAATGGCAAAAAAGACTGCAAAGGATATGTACGACCAGCTTCTAAATGATTCTAATCAATCTACTTCTGGTCTGACTCATCTAGCTGAATACTTGCTTGAAAGACCACGAGAATACATAGAAGCGGTTGAACGACAGGTGCCAGCCATGATTCTAGCCAATCAACTGCTTGTTAATCGGCTTGAAGAATCTATCGAGACAGAAAGGTTACACCAGGCGGAATATGAAGAAATGATGACGTCAACAGAGGCACTTAAAAGGGCTTTAATGGAATACGGGGAAGGCTATATATTTGTAGCTGATTTTAGTCGCGGGGAGTTACAAATCCAACAAATGCCATCTGAGGGTGGTGAAGCGGTATCAGTAGCGTTTAATGTAACTGACTTTCTTCGTGGGAGCTCAGGAGATTTGGACGTTTGTAGAAGAAGGGACATTCGAGGATTGTGGACCGTGACTTATTCAGGCAGCCTTTTCAGAAATAGCCTGGAGAGACCAGTTGCGATCAAAGTTTATCTGCCTTCTTCAGGAGTAGAATTTACTTATGCAGAAGTAGCTAAACTAAGGTATGAGCACAAAACTATCTTTTACTGATCTTCATTAAATTTTACCTTTTTAGAGATGGACATGTAAGATACACTTATTGTTTTCTGAATACACGTTTTATTTTTCATATGAATAAGGCCTACTTTATTGCATATGTAGGTAAACATCAAAAAGTCATTTGCTGTATCGCTTTTTTCTGTTTTTTTTCCTTAAAAATAACTTAAAGTTGTTTTGATGAGAAATTAGAAAGTGGAATTGTGTTATATATTTAATTTTACTATCTACTTGTGTATATTATTTCAGGTGTCTCACAAGGCGAGGGGCAAACATAGCAGAATTTTTAGGTATTCATAATGCCGAAACTATAACGCCTGCATTTGTTTACGAGGGGGATTTAAAATCAGTTAGACGGTCCCTTAGTGCATTCTGCAATAAACGGGAAAGTGTTCCCGAAATTTTAATTGAGACGGCGTGCGGCTTGGAATATCTTCATACAAAAGGACTCGTCCATATGGAACTCAGTCAAGACACTGTGACGGTAAGTGTTTATATTTGTCTATATTATCCCTTGCTGGAATATATGATGTATGACACTATAAACGATTTGTTTAAAATAGAAGTCACCTTAATTTATCAGTGTCTTCTATTGATTTCTTTGACTATATATAGGAACCATTAAATCAAGAGAAATAGTTTACGAATAAATTTATGGCTTTAAAAGACTAAATCATGAAAAGCTTAATTAATATTAATATAATCATAATTACGACATTTTCGAATAATGAAAGTCACTTATGTTGAAAAATGTTAAATCATATTAAATAAAAAGGACAACGTTCAAGGAGTAAAGTTCCAATTTTTAATGTGACGACCTTTACTAATTATCTGCATACAAAACTATAACTATATTGCCAATCATATTTTATTAGATTTTTGTTAACTTTTAATTCTCCTGGTATATATGAAATGAAAAATCCGTTGTTAGATGAAATGTTCTATATTCATGTATTGCTTAAGTATTGCCTTTATTATAGTGACCTTTATCTCGAGCTGTTAGTAAATTATAACTTACACATAATGTTCGCTAGGAATAATTGATTATTCTTGATATTGTTATTTTCTTAACATTTAAGATGGATGAAGCTGGCAATGTTCAACTTACAGGCGCTTGTTTACCTAGATTCGCCAAGCTTCCATTTGACACAGAACGAATTGATACTGGAGATTTCGTGTACTTGGCACCGGAAGTTTTACGTGGAGATAAATACGAAGTATTTGCAGACGTTTACTCTTTTGGATTATTTATATTAGAATTAGCTCAAGTAGAAATGCCCGTAGTATTCAGAGAACAGAGAAAAATGACTCTTTGTGATTTTATCAGAACAGTTGATCCTGAAAAAATGCTCAATTTAGAAGAGGTAGTGGAAGTGTTCACCAATAATACACGAGCACTCATTCTGAACTGTCTTGAAATTGACAAAGACAATCGCCCGCTTATGAGCGAAGTTATAGAATACACATCATTCATCAAAAATGAGAAGGACGCTCTAGCCAAACTACCTACTCGCAGATCAAGAGCGAGGCCAATCAAACGGCCGTCACTAGACAAGGCAAAGGAATTAAAAGGAAAATATGAATCATCTACTTATCTGTGACACTACAGACTACGTATGATAATCAAATTTGACATGTTTGTTCTGCATTTGCAGAGTTATAGCGTTTGCGAGAAAGTATCTTATGTGCCAAAGTTCATTATATAACACCTTAACATATTTCATATTTATGTTTTACTTTTTACTTCAAGAAATTCTTTTGAAGTATATGTAATTATTTATGTTCTCTTATTGGGAACTGCAAATGCTTAGTACTGAAATAATTATAGATATGTTTACCTTATTAAGGACACTACAACGATACAATATTCTATACATGGGATACTTGGCTTCGTAGATATAAGAAGGTATTACTAGTATCCTATATTTAATTAAGAAATTCCTAAACATTACAGAATAAGAGAATTTTGTTATTTCAGTATAAAGTATGTTATTTCATTATCATAGCTTTGTATGAAGTATCTAACATATTTTCTATTTCTATCTACATTATCATTTACTCAAGATACAACAATATAACTACATTTAGTAAACCGATACTTCTATGTTCTCAAATGTTCTCCATGTTCTTGAAACTGATAACAAATTAGAACTGATATATTGACATATTTACAGATTAATTATTCACATGTTATCAAATCACTTGTTAAGACATAATTTGTTTATTAATAAAATATTCAAGCCTCATGAAGTTGTTTTCACATGAATATACTTGTAGTTCAATTAATTTAACTCAATGGGGTATGGGGTGCTTTGATATTGTATTTGGGTTATTTTTGGGTATGAGTACCGTAAACAAACAAATAAACTTATATAGAGAAAAGCAAACTCCTGGCACCGGTTACATTATGCTTTGGTTAACTTAATTTTAATACTGACCAGGGGAAGTAACTGCTCCAAGGTGTTTGAAAGAAAATGTGTCATTTTTGTTTGGAATTGACTCACATATGCAGTATTAAAGTACCGTGATAGTCCTATTTGGTTTAACTGATTCATATTTAACATCAATGAAGTTGTAATGAGAAAAAATATCTTCTTCATAGTTATCAGTTATCTAGGTCATTTTGTATTTGTCATTAAAACATTCAATGATACTTGTACTTGTATTCACAACATGTGATAATTAGCTTTACAAATTTTTTTCAGAGAAATTCATCTTGTGTGCGTTTAGGTTGACTAAAAGTTTTTCTATGCCATTGGTTATTATTAAGGTGTTTGGCATTTTTGAGTTTTGTTCGTTACTGAGAAAAGGTGGTTACATGCATATGATGTTCACCATACATGTCCAGAAGTACGATATACAATTTATCAAAAATATCTGTTTGAAGATCACACGCGGCAAATGAAAACATCATTATTTGCACGAGATTTGCATTTTCAGCTTGAGTGAGTCTGCTTAAGATTATCTCCCATATACACGCATCCAAGGATCGAAAATGTCAATTGGCACCATTAAAAAGCATCCTTTAGTTTGTATAATTAGTGACAATGGTGATGAGCGGAAAACTGTCAATTAACTTACTTTGTATATTATCTTTCATTCATCTAATAACAAATCAGTTCAATAACAGTTTTCCACATGAGTATATACATCTTTAAAACATATTTTACTTATGCTAAAAATGGATATGAAAAACGCATTTTCAATTACATTGTTTAAAAACACTGCTTAATACGTAGATTTATGTAAATGTACGTTTATGCATACGCTTTTGCAGTTATAGCCTAAATTCTATTTTGATAAAGAAGTTTCAAAGTGAGTTTACAGCATAGTGCTTACACTGTCATTCTCTGGTAAGTTTCCGTTTGTTTTTTTTTTCCAGAAAACGTTAAGTAACCGTTTCTCATTCGAGTTTTATGAAACATCATTCTCACTTCTCACGCTGATAATACAGTTTAATTTATCAGATATATAATTTAGCCTACCATAAAGCACTTGCAATTGGCATGAATTATTAAGATTATGTCAAAATATGCCCTTCGTTAGTAGCGGCATCGAACAAACAATGAATTCAGTCATATTCTCCGGGAACATGTAAAATGTTAATTATGAAGCGTGTATATTTATACATTTCTTATACTCCTAATAGATTTCTTTAAAGATTGTCCACTCATCTTGTGTGAAGCTTTAATCATTCATGATTATACTGTTTGTTCAAGAAATGTTGTAATTGAGAAAAACATTGAATGCGTGGAAGTGCAATATAAACATCTTTGAATGTTGAAATGAAATTCAGCTGATACAATCTAATAAGGTCACATTCACACAGTCGTCTTGTCAGCTTGTTGTAACGACTATGAACTAAGTGACCCCGGGTGGGACCAATATTTACCCAAGGGGCATGATTTTTACCAGTCATTGTGTGAGCATACTAAATGTTCTACTGGAGGTTAGCATATGATGCACCTCATCTTTAAATCAGTTATGGATTTTAAAGGCCAATTTTGGCAAATAAAATATTATTTATGTTATGGTATTGAACTGTTTATTACTAGCGCGGAAAATGTGTAAGAGGCCAGTAAAGCTCCCGAACGTTATCCTGGGGGTCCCAGTTTCGAATTCTGCTCAAGCTGCACATTTTTCTCACATGTGATATTTTGGCAGTGATGGTTTATAGCTGATAAATGTTCTCTACATCCATACAAAATTTGTGGACAAATTCCAATTAAGCAGGGATCGAAGTTTGTCACGGTATAAGAACGGAAAATACGCTCTGTTATTGCCCTGAATATTTATTAATTAGTGGCACAAATACATTTACATAACAAGAAATTGTCTCTGGTGAAAAAAAGACAAATTGTACAGGTAATAGTATAGATATATATTGTCAAATCATGTTCGAAACAGTTACAAATAACCTTTCATTTTCCGAATGTACTAAAACAAACAAAAGCAGTGAAGTTAAGAAAATAGCATAATTATATCAAAATGTAATTAAAAGTGGAAAAAACTTTGCATACTGAGCTTACTTGTGACCCTTCATATATTATATAGTTTCAAGTGAATATCTGTTTTAGTTTCAAAAACATTTTTAAGCATTAATGGTTATATCAGAACATTTTCTAAGCCTAAAAGTGGCATAACTTGTGTCATAATTCAATGGCATTGTATAATTTTCGTCATCTGAGCTTGCTTGTAACCAGTCCGTTCATATAAATTTTAATTTTCAAGTAAACGTCTGTTATGGTTTAAGAAATATTATAGTAATTAAATCTAAAGACATAAAAATGGACTTAACTTTGTCAAAATACAATACAAAATTATCCCCCACACTTTTTTTAAAAGTTATGAAACTTGACCTGCATATCTTACTTGCGACACTTCGTATATGTTTGAAGTTTCAAATGATTATCTTTCTAGTTTTAATAAATATTTAAGTTCATGTTAAAATTTCAGAACGTTTTCTAAGTCAATTTTTGACCTTCAAATGTGGCCTGGACCATAAGCCGGCACAAAGGTAACATGGGTTCTGCACATTGTCCGGTTGCGGTGAACATTTGAGTCAAGTTTGAAGAAAATTCTTGCATTTGTGTAGGATTTATAGAGCGGACACGACATATTGTCTAATATTTGATTGTATGTAAATTTAAAGACTTAAAAAAGGGGCATAACTTTGTCAAAATGCAATACATAGTTATGAAACTTGACCTGCATATCTTAATTGTGACACTTCATATATATTTTAAATTTCAAGCAAATACCTTTTCTAGTTTCAGAAATATTCAAATACATGTTCAAATTTAAGAATATTTTCTAAGTCATTTTTTGACCTTTAAGTGTGACCTTGACCTTAAGCCGCAAAGGTGTAACATGGGTTCTGCACATTACCTCATTTGAGCCAAGATTGAAGAAAATCTTTCAATTAGTGTAGGACTTACAGAGCAGACACATGGGCAACATTTGAGCCAAGTTTTAAGAAAATCCTTCAATTGGTATAGGATTTATAGAGCGGACACGATAATGGAGACGGACGGACCGACGGACTGACCGACCGACGCGACAAAGCGAATCCATTATAGCCCCCGCCCCCCACATTTTGTGGTGGGGGTATAATAAGGGTTCTTTCTATTTAATGTTCCTTCTGCAACAACTGTGTTTATTCTTTGGGATCAAATCAGTGAGACATGGCCAATGTCATAAAACCCTTAGGATGATCATTTAACTAAAGTCGGATCATAATTAAATAACTGGCACGAGTGACGTTATCTGATGTAATGTTATGCACCCTGTTGATTTATGATATCACGACCCTGTGTCGCTTAATTGTAATTACAACATATGCACTCTGTTGATTTGTCCAGCGTCGCTTACAGATACAAATCTTTGTATTAATGAAATAATTTCTGTGACAGTAAAGATTATATTAATTTACATATTACTCTTAATCACATTTGCAAAATCTCTTTGAGTCAATTATACGTATATAATATATATTTAGAAATTAATTACGAAGCACAGATTAACCACGTGCATTTTTAATTAAAATTGTGAAACTGTATGTACTAGGCAAAGTTATTTTACTTGTATAATACTTTAATGTTTTAATTACTATTACCACGGTACATGTCCTTCCTTGTTAATTTGTGTCATAATCATATATAATACTTTTTTTATTATTTTATAAGGATATATTTTTAATATTAACAATAATCTTATTTTCGTCTATTGTGAATCCTATATATAATACTTGAAAAAAAAGTCATTGCCACATGGTTTTCGATTTTTCAGGAACGTTTATATATAATATACATCCCTGGTTCTTTGTAAGATTTCTAAACCGCTTAATTACTTTTCCTAAAATCTTGGTACATTTTTCGCGAGTTTGGTTTTCTTTAAATATTTTGGTTTATCTGGAGGCGTGCAGCTTTAAGATGAATTATCATACTGAAACATGTGTTTATTTACATGTCTGTATATGTGAAGTTTTGTAACGAAAGTTATTTAGATATATTGCCTGAACATTTGAGACGATTTGTAACTAGATTACGAGCTTCTGCATACAACCTAAGAATATAAACTGGCAGATATGCTAGAAACAGAATAATAGAAATGAAGGCTACTGCCAATGTTGTTCTTTAAAGCTGCATGCCTCCAGATGAGTCAAAATATTTCGAAAAAATCAAACTTGAGAAATATGTACTACGACTTTAGGAAACATAAAATGGTTCAAGATTCAAGTAATAATTTACATGTTATGTGCAGTTAATGACTGATTTTTTATATGTACAACTATATTTCTTCTGCGTTACTAACGCAGTATGGTCTATTTATGCATATTTTGACCACTTTTTGGTAATTTACATGGCTTGTAAGTGCCATTGATAATGTATAAATGGCTTCCTTTTGGTTATTTCACAATATAAAACATTCAAAAACATTTTCAAAATTTTTATGAAAATAAGCATGAATCTGGAGGCGTGCTGCTTTAAATAATGTTCAATGATAGATCAAAATTTTTTTATTTTAAAGTTTTAATATTGATTTTCTTCCTTAAATATATTCATCCTCACTTAACTGAGGCTTAATAACAATCAACGTAGGTTTCATTACAATTATTGATTTCTTTATATTATTTATATCATGATTTCTTTACATTGATTGCACTGAAAGTACATGTTACTTGAATATAATATTATTATGTATGTGATGATGTACTATGTATAAATCCGAAATAAAAGTTCTGTTCTGTTTTGTATTTGTTCAAAATGAACTATAGCTACTTCTACCTTACTGATATATGATTTAGATACATGTGTATTATCATAGAATTAATTAATTGCCAACTTGTATTGACCTTCGTTATATACCAATTATTATATATATTTAAACTATGCCACTCAATAATAATTTCCCCTATATTATAATAACTTGATTTATAAGTGATGACGATAATGGTGATGACGACGATGATGATGGTGATGATAGACACTGCTTGTCTAAAACGATCCCGGCTTTTATAAATGTGATCCAGCTTGGATCTCTATATATCTAATACAATCCCGGCTTTTCTAAATGTGATATGGCAGACAGTCAATTCCCGGTATCTCTCTTTGTTCAATACGATCCCGGCTTTTCTGAATGTGACATGGCAGTGGTCAAATCCCGGGATCTCTATATATCTAATACGATCCCGGCTTTTCTGAATTTAATTTGGCAGACAGTCAATTCCCGGTATCTCTCTTTGTTAAATACGATCCCGGCTTTTCTGAATGTGACATGGCAGTGGTCAAATCCCGGGATCTCTATATATCTATTACAATCCCGGCTTTTCTAAATGTGATATGGCAGACGGTCAATTCCCGGTATCTCTGTTTGTTAAATACGATCCCGGCTTTTCTGAATATGACACGGCAGTGGTCAAATCCCGGGATCTTTATATATCTAATACAATCCCGGCTTTCCTAAATGTGATATGGTAGATCAAAGATATTCTAAAAATATTGTACAAGTAATCGTAATGATTTAATAGAGAAAATGATAATTCGTTTGATGTGATTTTTTAGAGGTACAATATACTAATTTATTGATAGGAGTAAAATGATTTGAACATGACAAGTCTGGTTCTGTTTGACAAGTGGAAGTCACTAAAAAAATTAAAAGATTTATATCTAAGTAGGAAAATCAAAAGATTTATGTAAAAGGTCATCATTTTCCGTGACGAATCAAACAAAATGTATTTAAATAAAATAAAAAAAACCGGCTTAATCTTACTTTACGTAGCAATCACACTTTGGTTCATCAGACAGGTGTCTCTACTCTAATATTATAAAAGGGCACGTGTCATTTGCGTCAATATCTCGAAACCATCAAAACCAACTCCGTCAGAAAAAAGATACACAAGTCTACTTCATAATTTCTTTAAGAACACTGACATAACATCATTACACATCTGTAAAAAAATGTAGGAGTTAATTATCAAATCGATAATTTACCAATGACACCTGCATTAATGATTTATGAAAATACATATGTATATATCAATAAATGAATTGATTGACAACTTATATTTACTTTTTCTTATTACATAATTATTATCATATAAGAATATATGTATACATGTATATTAAACTTTTATCATGATGTTTATGATGGTCACTTGATAACCAATACACAGCGACTTCCACTGCCAGTACATGTACTTCCAAAATAAGATTTTAGGTGTGTGACATTCTGAGGTCAATTAACTCTCTCATGTGTGAAAAAATACGTTAGCAGATTTTTTTTTCATAACTACTACAAATCAAACTTATTCAAAAAGCTCTACAAAAACATTCAAATAATAATAATAATAATAATAATAATAATAATCTAAACTTTATTTCCGTACAAATTGTAGTATTTGTAGTACGGCTGTTATTAATTAAACGTTTTCATTATTAAACATATGAAATAACCAACCAAGAAACATGTATACAGTACCGAAAATCATTCAAATACAAAAATATATCATAGCCATCAACAATAAAAAAACATCATTAAAATTGTCAACAAGCATATCACAAGCATATCTTTGACGAAATGCATGAGATAATCGATAATTTATCGTCGACACCGAGACCTGGTGGTCAATTCCCGGGATTACTATATGTTTAATACGATCCCGGATCCCGGCTTTTCTGTAGGCGATCGTGGGATTTTCCCCCACCGTTCCTGTCTTTGGGTTCATTTAAAAGGAAGTCAGTCAAAGTTGCCCCCCTTACACGGAAGTCGATTTTGAAGTTGCCACAAAATATGAAAACAAACCAAAACATGTTATTCATTCATTTTTTCGTCAGTGTTTATATCATGTAAAGATGGACAACGGTCTAGCTTTGCAGTATGACCGCCTTCTTGGGGAAGGTTCTTATGGCAAAGTGTTTTTGGTCAGGCAAGAAGACGGACAACAGGTTAAGATCTTTTTCAAGTTTTTGTTTTCAATCGTAACTGAGTTTTTTTTGTTATTTTCTTTTATTAAAAGCTAAGTTTATTACCGACTGTCAAATCGTAACGTCTAATTGTAACTGTCATTTTTACCAATGGAAAATTAATCGGTATCACTGTTGCGTGTTTTAACCGATTCCAAATCGCTTAAAATCAGAAAACGTTATTCAGTTCTTCAAAAAATCATAAGAATATAATATGGAATTTGGGATAGCATATGTACAGGGAAGTCGGGTAAGAGATTGTACATTTTTCCCTTTTTAAAGGTGTCATTCGGTATTTAACCGCTTCACGGATTTATATTACAGGGATCGGACACTCCCAGTTAACTGGTTAACCCTATATAAATGCTTAAATATCTTGTCGCGCACCCGATAAAGGTACATCGATCGCTAATTTACCGGTGCTAAGCGTAAATACCCGTTCGCAACGGATAGCTACTTTACAAAATACCATACAGCTTTTCCATTTATTATCCGATTTTGGAAATTTAAAGTTTATTTTGAAGAAAAATACTTGTTTAATTCAAATATCTAATTTATTTTTTAAAGGTACAGTTTATCTGTCCGAAAAGACGATTAAAAAATTAACTTGACGAAATCCACTGTAAATTTACATTTTTTATATAAAAATCAGGTGTTTGAAATTTATTATTACGGTAACATAATAAATTCAATTTCAAAATAAAAAAGAAGCCGATGTAAGTTATTCACAGATGATCAAAGATGCAATAATTAAGATTTATTGGGTTATGCAGTCAAATTTATTAACGCACAATTGTTTAACGGGTAATGTATTGCGGGCTTTACAATTCACTCAACACGTGAAGAGAATTTATTCATTTTTTTTGTACAAATTAGAAAATATTGCCGAGATTGTCAATTTTGCCATATCCATAGAATATTTAAATTTCATTTATCATTTATATCATTATTATTTTTTGTAAATCTGTTTTCAAATGTCGGTGCAGTGAAGTAGACAATCATCGTAACAGTAAAGTACTCTCGTGTGTCTATCTCGATTCCGGCCTTTTTAATGTCACTCGTATATTTTAATCCGTATATTTTAATTATTCTTTTTTATTTGAATGCCTGTAGAAAGATATTTCTGATATTTTTAATGTAACGCTAGAAAAACAATAAAAATCTTTACAGTTTGAGTCAGCATTTTGCGAAATAAAAGTAACTTTTGATTATTTTTTACACATCGCTTAAATTTCTTTCAAGTTTAATTACTTTTGAAGTGGGGTAATTACCAGGTAACAAGTGATAATTGAAAAACTTTATTTATTTGTGATAATTGCAACACTCGAAAACAAATAGAATTTGAATGTATATTTTGTATGTGCGCGGTCTTTAACTACAGTCCATGGTATGTGTGGTAAGAAAATGATTCTGAAGAGGATATACTATATAAATACAATGTAAATCTATTTTCTTTATTAACATTTATAAATGAAATTGAAAATATACAACTAAATTTGTAAAGTCCTTTCTTTGAAAAATAATGTAAATAAACATGTGACAAATAAATCATTTGACGTGAATTGTGAAGGATAACTATGAAAAAAAAATGTTTCAAAATAAAATATAATATTATAAAACAGCTGTTCTGTATGCCAATAAAAGTTTCTTCCTTGCCAATCTAATGAATTCATCTATATATGAACGCTTGTCTAGAATGATCTGAAAATATATTTAATACACTAATTAGTAGAATATTTACTATATTTATACTAATATACAGGTAATCAAGTAAAAAAAATGTACAAATCATTTGGAAATAATTCACAGAAATAAAGACAAATTTCAAACATGAATTTCTTTAAAAGTTTTTTAGCAATCAAGAAACATTTTTTTGCAATGCCACCATAAAACCATGTAAACAATAATTATCTTAATCTGAATCGCGGTAATAATTTGTGCTTGAAGTAAAAGGGCGTCAAAGTGTAGAGAGTATGTCTAAACAATAGGCGAATATTTTTTAGATTAGGTACTTTTTATGCCCCCACTTCAAAGAAGAGGGGGTATATTGCTTTGCATTTGTCGGTCCGTTGGTCTGTCGGTCCATAGACCAAATGGTTTTCCCAGTGATAACTAAAGAACCCTTAGGCCTAAGGAACTTCAAACGTGGTATGGTGATTGGTCATGACCAGTAGATGACCCCTATTGATTTTGAAGTCAATGGGTCAAAGGTCAAGGTCACATTGACCTTGTAAGTAAAAACGGTTTCCGATCAATAACTAAAGAACACTTAGGTCTTTTATTTCACTTAGGTCTAGGAACTTCAAACTTGGTATGGTGATTGGTCATGACCAGCAGATGACCCCTATTGATTTTGGGGTCAAGGGGTCAAAGATCAAGGTCACATTGACCTTGTAGGTAAAAACGGTTTCCGATCAATAACTAAAGAACGCTTAGGCCTAGGAACTTCAAACTTGGTATGGTGATTGGTCATGACCAGCAGATGACCCCTATTGATTTTGGGGTCAAGGGGTCAAAGGTCAAGGTCACATTGACCTTGTAGGTAAAAACGGTTTCCGATCAATAACTAAAGAACGCTTAGGCCTAGGAACTTCAAACTTGGTATGGTGATTGGTCATGACCAGCAGATGACCCCTATTGATTTTGGGGTCAAGGGGTCAAAGGTCAAGGTCACATTGACCTTGTAGGTAAAAACGGTTTCCGATCAATAACTAAAGAATGCTTAGGCCTAGGAACTTCAAACTTGGTATGGTGATTGGTCATGACCAGCAGATGACCCCTATTGATTTTGGGGTCAAGGGGTCAAAGGTCAAGGTCACATTGACCTTGTAGGTAAAAACGGTTTCCGATCAATAACTAAAGAACGCTTAGGCCTAGGAACTTCAAACTTGGTATGGTGATTGGTCATGACCAGCAGATGACCCCTATTGATTTTGGGGTCAAGGGGTCAAAGGTCAAGGTCACATTGACCTTGTAGGTAAAAACGGTTTCCGATCAATAACTAAAGAACGCTTAGGCCTAGGAACTTCAAACTTGGTATGGTGATTGGTCATGACCAGTAGATGACCCCTATTGATTTTGGGGTCAAGGGGTCAAAGGTCAAGGTCACATTGACCTTGTAGGTAAAAACGGTTTCCGATCAATAACTAAAGAATGCTTAGGCCTAGGAACTTCAAACTTGGTATGGTGATTGGTCATGACCAGCAGATGACCCCTATTGATTTTGGGGTCAAGGGGTCAAAGGTCAAGGTCACATTGACCTTGTAGGTAAAAACGGTTTCCGATCAATAACTAAAGAACGCTTAGGCCTAGGAACTTCAAACTTGGTATGGTGATTGGTCATGACCAGCAGATGACCCCTATTGATTTTGGGGTCAAGGGGTCAAAGGTCAAGGTCACATTGACCTTGTAGGTAAAAACGGTTTCCGATCAATAACTAAAGAATGCTTAGGCCTAGGAACTTCAAACTTGGTATGGTGATTGGTCATGACCAGTAGATGACCCCTATTGATTTTGGGGTCAAGGGGTCAATGTCATATTGACCTTGTACTTAATGGCGGTTTCTGACCAATAACTCAACAACTCAAGTTGCCTTGGTTGATATTTTTATATTAAACTAAAAATGATTTTGGTACACACATTTGAAGGTCTTATGTAATATAACAACTTTGCTGTCATTAATGAGGCCTACATGATTCATAAAATTTATGCATATATTATTTGGTAAGATTTGAAATAACTTAAATTGCTGCACACAACCTATGGGGTCACAATAATTATTACCTTGTGACTAGTCATGACCAGTAGATACTAGATAACCCTTATTAATTGTTTGTTCACTGGGTCAGAAGTCATGCATAATAACCTGATCACATGACTAATTGGCTGCCGATAGGGGGCATACATGTTTTACAAACATATCTTGTTTAACTAAGCTTTGCAGCGTACTTTCGGCATATTTTCATATATTAATACTTTAGCGACACAAAATAATACTGTATCAATACATTTATATGTGCATAATTTTTCACAAAGCTGCAATAACACCACATACTCTTGTGAAAATCTGTCATATTTCGCACTCTGCGCGTTCCGCCATCTCATTCTGTCCACCTTTATCCGATTCCACGCATGCGCGCAACGAGACTTTAAGCTAAACAAAAGTGTCCAATCCTTGTAATATAAATCCGTGACATCTTTAAGGGTGTAACTTGTTTGGTATACCGTACATGCGGTATATTAATTGTACCGTTTTCACTTGGTACGGTTCACGGTACCATGGAGCTAAATATAGATTGAGAAGAAACTGTGATGTCACACAGTTAAATTCAGTATCAGCGAAATTGTGTTCGCGCAAGTTATCATATGTCGCGGGGTTTTGCGAGATTTGATGTATCCTAGGTAAAAGTAGCCAAAAAAAACGCCATAATGAATTCCAAAAGGTACATCAACAAAAAAGACATTTGAAGCATTTTATACTGATATAAGAAGCAATAGATATATAGATATTTATTCTCAAACGTACAGTACACACTTTTCAACACAAATATTTCTCGGCTGAAAATCCTTGTTTGCAATGTAAACAGTAATTTATGGATATTGCCGAAGTTTAACAAGAGTGTGAAAATCGAAGACTAGCGGGAAAACCTGATTATCAGAAGTGTGCAAAGGATTGTGGGTCTGAATCTGATTATCGTATATTTTCGAAGCTTACTATCCGTTGTATATATATCTGTGACGGTACGACAAATCACCCGTATGGTACCAGACAGTACATCATTTTTCAACAATATTCCATACAAAAAAAATCAAACTGCAGAAGCCATTCCAATCATAATACTGTCTAACGAAAACCTGAAATTGACTTTATGGCTAAGTATAAAACTTTACCAAACAAGTATTATGGATTCCGATTCCGTAACAACAGCAGCATTCGGTAATGTTTATACTTAGCCATGAGGTCGATATTTTAGCTGAGTGCATTAATTAGAATTTGAATGAAATAAGTATTCAGGCTATCTTAAAAGAATTAAAAGAATGAAACATATTACAAACATTATTTAACAATATGTTTATAAATAAAGCCAATTATTCCAATATAGACCAGTCAATAGTAAATTTGAGTTTTGCGTTTGATTTTTATCAAACTGTTATATAATCTCACAATTTTCACCTTTATGACATTCTGAGACCGAAACAAATTTAGCCCCTTCTGATTACAAATTGTGTCCTTAAAACTGCATAATTGAAATAGAATTTAAATGAATATATGGACAATCCGGTATTGTTCACTTTAATATTTTTTAGCTCACCTGAGCTTGCTCAGGGTGAGCTTTTAGGATCGATGAATGTCCGTCGTCCGTCCGGCCGTCCACAATTGCTTGTGAACACTCTAGCGGTCGCATTTTTGCCTCAATCATCATCAAACTTGGTCAGGATGCTTATCTAGTTGAAAGCTCGGATGAGTTCGAACATGGGTCATCTCAGATGAAAAACTAGGTCACAAGAGCTAAAAATAGAAAAACCTTGTGAACACTCTAGAGGTCACATTTTTGACCCAATCTTCATCAAACTTGGTCAGGATGTTTGTCTAGGTGATAGCTCGGATGAGTTCGAACATGGGTCATCTCGGATGAAAAAGTAGGTCACAGGAGCTATAAATAGAAAAACCTTGTGAACACTCTAGTGGTCACATTTTTGAACCAATCATCATCAAACTTGGTCAGAATGCTTGTCTAGTCAATTGCTTGGATGAGTTCGAACATGGGTCATCTCTGATGAAAAACTAGGTCACAGGAGCTAAAAATAGAAAAACCTTGTGACCACTCTAGTGGTCACATTTTTGACCCAATCATCATCAAACTTTGTCAGGATGCTTGTTTAGATAATAGCTCGGATGAGTTCGAATATGGGTCATCTCGGATGAAAAACTAGGTCACCGGAGCTATAAATAGAAAAACCTTGTTAACACTCTAGCGGTCACATTTTTGCATCAATCATTATCAAACTTGGTCAGGATGCTTATCTAGTTGATAGCTTGGATGAGTTCGAACATGGGTCATCTCGGATGAAAAAGTAGGTCACCGGAGCTAAAAATAGAAAAACCTTGTTAACACTTTAGCGGTCACATTTTTGCATCAATCATCATCAAACTTGATCAAGATGCTTGTCTAGGTAATAACTCGGATGAGTTCGAACATGGGTCATCTCGGATGAAAAACTAGGTCACAGGAGCTAAAAATAGAAAAACCTTGTTAACACTCTAGTAGTCACAATTTTGACTCAATTGTCATCAAACTTGGTCAGGAAACTTGTCTAGGTCATTGCTGGGAATAAATTGAACATGGGACATCTCGGATGAAAAACTAGGTCACAGGAGCTAAAAATAGAAAAATCTTGTTAACACTCTAGTGGCTACTGTTGTGATCCAAATATTCTGTTAATTGGTCTGAAAGTTTGTTTTGATGATTTCTAAGTCAAGATCGAACATGGGTCATCTTGGATGAAAAACTAGGTCACACCGCCCAAATATGGAAAAACCTTGTTAACATTCTAGTGGTCACATTTTCGACTCCATTATCATCAAACTTGGTCAGAATGCTTGTCTAGGTAATTGCTTGGATGAGTTCGAAATCGCATGTGAAACTAGGTCACCGGAGCTAAAAATAGAAAAATCTTGTTAACACTCTAGTTGCTACTGTTTTGATCCAAGTATCCTGGAAATTGGTCTGAAAGTTTGTTTTGATGATTTCTAGGTCAAGTTTGAATATGTGTCACCTGGGTAAAAAACTAGGTCGCACTGCTCAAATATGGATAATCCTTGTTAACACTGTAGTGGTCACATTTTTGACTCACCTGTCATGAGACTTGGTCAGAATGCTTGTCTAGGTAATTGTTTGGATGAGTTTGATAATTCAGGTGAGCGATCTAGGGCCATCATGGCCCTCTTGTTTTATAAATTTATTACACTAAATTTATACCATACATGTTCATGATCTTATGATCATATTATCATTTATTATATTGGTAAATGCTACATTGTTACAATAATTAAAAGCAATTAAAACCCAAACTTGTGGCATTATAACTAATGAAAACTGTGCGTAAGTCTCAAACAATTATTCCTTCAAACAGTGAATTATCATGAATTGTCATTTGACTTCAAAGGGTCAATTAAATCAACACCACAATTACCACTGATAGATTATGCTAAACATCATAAACAACACATAACTTCAGCTGCAATCAATAAGATTATTAAAAAAAAACTGGCATTCTGTTTGGCTGAGGATGTTTAACAGGTGACAAGGGTAAAGCCTATTTAAAGGACTCAATGACATGGGCATTTGTTGTGTTTTTTTATCTAGCGTACAAGGGTTTGACGATCAGATTTTTATAGTGTTCTGCAGAAAATATCAGTAACAAGGTGAAGTTGTATGACAAGTTGCATATTTCTGAAAGCTTTATTTTTTGAGTTATGACAAATTTTAATTTAGATTTTTTGACAGAAGTGGTTATTTAAACAGACAGAGATAACATCACATGTGGTGCTCATGTAAACTTTGGTGTAGATAGTAAAAGAACATTATGTATAATTTACTAACACAGCAAGTTTTTTCATCTTAAATGGTTAGATAAAGAAAGCAAATTTCATATAGAACAGCAGTGTTCTGCATTACTTATTTAAGTACAATACTCCATAGCTAAAATACATAAAATATTGGATACAGCTAAAAGCCAGGGATTTCAAAATGGTTAATTACATCCTGATATATTTTATTATTTTAAAATTTCATAATATTCTACGTTCAATTTTTTCAGCTCAATAGCTTAATAGCTTCGTCTTAAGCCATGCAAGAATGTCAAATATATACAAGGGTTGTTCGGGAAGTTCTGAGAATTGTTTTATAGCACACGTTGTAGTCGGGTTAGCGTAAATATAAATATATACACCTTTATTTCAATATATACTGTACAGTATTTGAAAATATCATCATCATACACACAGAAACTAAAACATAATAAAAATAGTAAATAACCATATAACAAACACCCGAAGCACGCCGGCGTCATTTGCAACGTTATGCGACGTTAAAGTCCATCGATCGTCACACCTTTTCAACGTAGTCACCTGCAATTTCGATGCATTTCCTGTGTCGGCTGATCCACTTATTGTATGTTTCCACGTACCAGCTATCGGTAAAGGATGAGACTATAGCTTGCGTATGCTTAACAAGATCATCAGCTGAGTCAAAGTGTTTTCCACGCAGCTGTGATTTGAGCTCCGGGAACACACGGAAGTCCATCGGAGCGAGGTCCGGGCTGTATGGAGGGTTTCTTCCTTCTTTAAAACAAGCATGCCATCTACACACTGTAGCGGGACTGCATTTCTTGTATTTTCCTGTAGAATTGATCATTTTCATTGTTTCTGTGGAAGACTTTTCCAGCGCAACATAAAATTTTACGATGCTTCGCAATTCAACGTCACCTATCAACGTCACTGTTTACTTAGTGGCTCTGGGCAACAACTTTAAAACAATGTTGATCCGTTGAGAATTTAAATAACGTTATGATATTTTCAGGAAATGACGTCATGATGTTCTGCTGCTGACCAGCGTTTTCGCGCATTTTTTACGTTATCAAAATTACGAAATATTATTAGTGTAGCGCGTTATACCTTTCTTTAGAGTCTGACTGCTCCGGTGCGGCGTTATAGTGTAGCTATGGTTACTGCTATTTCCGGCTATTGTTGTCTGATTCTATTAAATTTTTAGGAATAGTTCCGTGATATGCTAATCTTAGTATGTGCAAAATATTACGTCTTAGAAACAAAAAATATAGGAGATATGACAAAATTCCCAGAACTTCCCAAACAACCCTCGTAATTATGTATTTTGTTTATTATTAATATGTTGTGATGGAAGTCATGAAACTAAAAATTTTAAGGTAAACAATTCTCTGTTACAGTTTGCTGTCAAAGAGATTGACTTGAAAAAATGCGATGAAAGTGGACGTGAACAAGCCCACGGTGAGGCGAATATCTTATCACGAATTAAACAAGAGAATATTCTGCTGTATGTTGAGTCGGTCATCTGTGACGATTGCCTGTATATTGTCACAGAGTATTGTGAAGGCGGTGACTTAGAAGATTATCTTCAGATTGTCTCGAAGAAAGGTGCGAGTATCCCAGAATCTCTTGTCTCTGAATGGATCATGCAGCTTGGTGGAGCTTTAAAGGTATAAACAGTCAACTATCGTTATCTCGACATCGCTTTTCTCGATATTTCGTTATCTCGATGAAATTTTGAAAGTCCCGATTTTCTTCCTTCTTTATCTATATGGAAATGTTTGTTTATCTTGATATTTTTATTTCAATATTTTCAGTATCTCGATGTAAAATTTCAGCCCCAACAGTTATTTTCACACTATTATCCTTTGTTTATCTCGACTAATAGTTTTCTTTCGTCTGTCCCCTTCAGACGTGTGAAACACAAACTAGACGATAATTGCTCAATAGGCCTGTCATAATGATGATTATGTTTGTAAGAGGTTAAGCTGTTTTTATGAAAGTTAATCTATTTAGCATGTTGATTGACTTATGTCCAAAATGAGTGAATTTTACGTTCTTATAAATATTCGAACACTGTATCAATTCATTATGACTTTTAATGTTAATGAAATAGTGAAAGTATAGAAACGCTATCGTTGCAATATTGTTTCACAACATCACCACCAAATCAATCAGCGGTCAAACAATCTCGAGAAAGACCCGATAAATAACCCGGGAGGATATCTGGAATACAGGATCAACCTACCTTCATTTTATTGGTGTATTACTGAGTAAACCTCACTATGTGTTTTTATCACAGACACCCGTATTTCCGCTGGTAAACATCCACTAATGTTACTAGGTCTATGAAAAGAAGACATGGGGATATCATAGTTTATTTGACATAAGGTATGCACATGTCTTTAGTAAAAATCAGTTTCTGTCTTATTCAAACCCTAATATGTTTATCTTGACATTTCGTTATCTCGATATTTTTTGACGGTCCCGATGACTTCGAGATAACGAGAGTCGACTGTAGTTATATAGTGGATATTGAAATTTAAATTTATTTTAGGGGAAAAGTGGCCTTTTAAATGCGAAATAATTTTTTTCTTGTGAAATGGTTGCATTGAGAACATTACTCCTTGCAGGAAAAATGAGCACGGCATTTTGTAGAGAATGTGATTTAAGATCAGTTTCTTTTTCATTACATCTATATAATTATAGAGTTCGTATTTTAGGACACAATATTGTGGAAGATGTCCTTGAATTATAAATGTGTGTCCTATATTAAAATGTACAACCAAATGGTTACAAAATCATTTTAGTATGCACTATTAAAAAAATGCAATAGGAAGGGAGAAAAGATTTTTTTGTCATATTTGAAATTTTGATATCGTATAAAGTTACCATGCAAAACTTGCATACCATATTTAATGGTTTATACCACGGATGATTTCAACAGTGAAATAAAATGTGAATTTTTCAATGTTTGGTCTTTTATTGACAGTATGTAACATGATAGTATCAGGTTACAGCCACAATTTACCCATGTTTTAGATTATATCATTATTTAGTTATACATGTAGTACAGCTGGTGTATATATGTATAAAGTTCATAAATGCTTTAATTTTAACATTTCTGCTTTTTGTGGAGCATTTGAAGTTAATTTAACTGTAATAGCATAGATAACTAATTTTAACATTTCTGCTTTTTGTGGAGCATTTGAAGTTAATTTAACTGTAATAGCATAGATAATGCCTATATGCCACCAGAGACAAGCAAAGATGCATTTCTTTTCAGTCTTACACGATGTCCTTAATTTTAACCCCTGCAAGATGTAATTAATTTTAACCTTTAACCTCAGTGCTGCTGAAACCAAGTGTTTAGCTTTTATCACCAGTGTAGAGTCACACCAGTGTGCACATTTGTGTAGTCTAGCCAAGCTCTACACTGTTGGTAGCTCAATTTTCACATTTTGATATTTAAATACCTTAAACATTAATAGACTGTTCCAAATTCAAAACTGGGCAAATCCATTACACAATTTTAAGGGTTACAATTGTAACACAAAGATATTGAAATGTCTGAATAGTTGCAGATTAACATACGTACATTTTCAAAGATTGTATAATATGAATTAATAAAACAGCCTATTTACTTTTTATTTAATTTTCTGATTCAAAGTATTCAAATTATTTAAAAATTTAGTATTATTTAAAGTAGATGTATTATCAAATTTTAGTTAATTGATGCCACAGAGTAAGTTTTATATGTAGCTAAAACTAAATAAAATCTCATATCTCATAAGCCACTATTCACACTGGTGAAAGGGGAAACTATAATTCACTTGGTAAAGGGAGTTATTATGATAATGTGTTTATATTTCTATGCATAAACATGTATAATATGAGTTTGTTTAAGCATATAAAACTTATGAAATAAAATTAAAATAGCTACAGTTAATGCATACAAAACTATGTTAATATTATTGTAACATTTTACAGTAAAATATTTTTTGATAAACAAATTATTGAATAGTTATTTTACATGTATTTCTTACAATGACATACATTATGGCATAGTTACATTATGTGGATGTTTCATAGTTCAGATACTTACATTCTATGTATGTGGCTGTTGATGTTTATTGTGTTATGGTTCACATGAATTATGTCATGGATAACATTGTTGCATTGTGTGGTTGTTGGTGTTCATTATGTCATAGTTCACATAGTTTCATTGTGTCATAGTTCACATACATTATGTCATAGTTTACATAGTTTAATGTCATAGTTCACATGCATTGATAAAAGCATCATATCATAATTGGCACATTTTATGTCTAATTTACAAATGTATGTCATAGTTCAGATTCATTTTGCTATGGTTCACATGATCATGATTATGCCATTAGATTTATGCATGATATATTTATTTAAGGATAATCACATAGTTTTATTACAACATTATGTTTGATTTACTGCATGTTGTTTACAGTACTTGCATGACCAGAAGATCCTACACAGGGACATGAAGACAAAAAACATTTTCTTGAAGGATGATTTGACAGTTAAATTGGGAGATCTGGGGATAGCAAAGTATGTGTATTGCTTATGTTTGTAGTAACTACTGTCTTATTTGTTTATATTAATCACATAATTATTTTAAACATGTTTATGTTTGCTTGATTATGAAGAAAGCTTGATGATAATGGTAATTCTTATTTGAACACTTTCCAGTTTGCAATAATTTCCTGCCAGTACAGGTGTCATGTTATGATCTTGACTACTTTAGGGTTTGAACCCCATGTCTTTATCGCAAGGTGCTGTCCCCTTAACCACTTTGCTAGTTCTCCTTTCATTTCTTGTATTCATGTGAGTAAATATTGATATTTATTTTGAGGATGAATGAATATGCATGGAATTAGGTGATGTTTACTTTTTGTGCTCAGCAGGAGCATAATTATAGTCACTACTTTGTCCTTCCTTATAGTTCTGACACTTTCTTGCTGTAAAAGTTTCACCAAACAACTTCATTTATCTTCCATATTTGGTAGAAAGATACTATGATTGGTTCTCTTACTTTGTGTGGTTTGGGGATCATTGGCGAAAAGCCAAAAGAAATGTTTTTCCATTCTCTCAATTCAGCCTTCATCTAAAACTGGCAAAAACATTTTTGTACCCTGAAGTTATCTTACCAAAATTACTTAATATTATGAAAGAATGATGTCTGCAACATGTCATGAAATTGATTAGAAAATGCATGAAGTCATGGCTAAATAAGTTAGGGAATGCTGAATTAATTTTAGTAATACATGTATTTATATATATAAACGAGTGGTGCAACATTGTAATAGTTTATTGCTATGAGGTGTTTGGCCGCTTTTATATATACCATTGCACAGAATCAAAATACTGTGAAAATTTCATCAAAATAAATGATCTTAAAGGAACTTGACTGTCAGGTTCAGTAGTCTAAAATAATAAATTTTGAAATCCTTTCTTAAATCAACTGGGTACACTTAAATTTGAAACCAAACAACAGAATGATGATATATAAATATACACGGTATTAAATTGATACTCGATTATTTTGCGATTTTTGGCTGATTTGGGTGAAAAGCGTTTAAATGGTTTTTATTTTTGGGGCAAATTTGCTCAATAAAATTTATTATTTCTGGGAAACGCAGTTAGCAAATTATCTGAAATCTTGTACACAAGTTATTGGTCTAGACATACATCTAGATATACAAAAATCTTGAAAAAATATTTTCGGTCCATTCACGTCAAAAACCCTCAGTGTCCCTTTAAATTTTGACTGATTGATTTAGAATAAAATTGTTATAAATAATTTGTAGAGCTTTAAATGTTTAAAAAATAAAAGAAAACATCACTTTTCTCCCAGCATGTAATGGATTAATGAACCACTGCACACTTCCATCTCTGCACTTCCAGAAAGATCCAAAATGTGCAAGGTTTTTTGCTTGGACATTTTCAACATCAAAATTTTAATATACTATAGTAGATCTATATCTTGAGGTTAACAGAATTGAAGAAATGTGACATACTTTAACACATAATTAATGTTAACTGTTTTGTGGTGACAACTGTTTAAATGAAGGCATATTAAATTCATTTTGTTATTAAAGTCATAAAATCATAAATCTATCTGTCAAGAGGTGCTTTTTTTGTGAAACCAATATCAATGGATTTTTGCCTATTACCTGAATCAATTGAGCGTAGTATGTAAAACCGTATACCTAAATACAAATGCCTCCTTTATATATAATCAATCAATAGAAATAAAAAGTAAATGTTAATTGATTATATTTTAATCATCATAACAGCCTGATTCAGTTTTTACAGTGTCATAAAATGTACATTAAAAAGGAGAATGAATGTTGATATACAGAATAATTATATTACAACAATGTATATATTGTGTTTCATTTGATCCAACAGATATCAGACACTGAAGAATATTTTATTTAAAAAAAAAATACATGCACATGTTATTGATAATGTGTCAGTATTCAGGGTCAGATGGATAAGGTCAAATCCATTTTGCACTATACATGTATATTGTGATACAGACAACCTGTACTGCAACAAGTACACATGTACCCTAGTTGTTCATTGTTACATTAACAGACAACCTGTACTGCAACAAGTACCCTAGTTGTTCATTGTTACATTAACAGACAACCTGTACTGCAACAAGTACCCTAGTTGTTCATTGTTACATTAACAGACAACCTGTACTGCAACAAGTACCCTAGTTGTTCATTGTTACATTAACAGACAACCTGTACTGCAACAAGTACCCTAGTTGTTCATTGTTACATTAACAGACAACCTGTACTGCAACAAGTACCCTAGTTGTTCATTGTTACATTAACAGACAACCTGTACTGCAACAAGTACAGTAGTTGTTCATTGTTACATAAACACTACACAACTTAAAGCCTGTTGTTTATTTTCAACATGTTAAAAGGTCAACAAACTATTAAAAGGTATGGTCCTTTTTCCATCATGCATTATGTCCACTAATGATTTCTTCACTATTTTGAACCTAATTTCATCTTTACTCACTATGTTGAGTATCTTTGTATGATGATTTGGATCACCAATCAGTTAATAATGAAAACATTGAGAGCTAACCTTGTCCAACCAATAACTAGTTAATGATTTAGCCAACTTTGATGTAGATGACTCCTTTTGATTTTTAGATGATTCTTCTTGAAGTCAGGTGGTCCTTCATTTAAAGTATACCTTTCTACTTGATTTTCATGACTTTTGACTTCAAACAATGAGACTTAAAATTAGTGACAGAGATATAACATGTATAAAACAAATGAAGAGAAAAAATTCCATATTCTTTTATTTTTTTATAAGATATTATTTTTCACTGATAGATCAGTCCAAGAATCTTGATTGTTAGGATTTCTTTTGTAAAGCCATGAAGATCTCTCTCTCTTTTTAATTGGAAAAAAGACAAAGAAAACACCATATGGTCTAATTGACCAGCAAGGAGTGAGAAAGAGAGACTCTGACATAATAGTTTATAAAGATTTTTTTACCCCCCCTCCACCATTTTTGCTTGTAGATTTAGTCAGAATAGGCTCTATACTGTTAGCTGGTCAACTGCAAATTTTACATGTTGTTTCCCCCCAAATTTAATAATGGTCTATTGCAAATACAGAAGCTTGATAAGTTGATCTACAAAATAAAGGTTAATCTGCTTTTAAATATCAACACTTCAGTGTTGCTATCATGACATCTGTTTACATGTATGCACATAATTTTGTTGGCTCATATAAATGATTCAATTGTTCATTTTTTCCACATCTTGATTTACAAAATGCAGGTATGTATAAGATAGAAATAGTAAATGTATGATGTAAACAACTTTGAGATGAAAGAAATATCTCTGACATTATGATCTGAAGATCAAGGAAAAACTGGAGTACTACCTTACAGCAAAGTTTATTACAATCATGTATTGCCATTTTTAAATTTCTTGAACTATTCTTATTTTCAGAGTGTTAGACTTGAACCAGAGTAAGGCAGACACATTTGTTGGTACACCATCATACATGAGCCCAGAATTATTCTCTGGACAATCTTATAATCATAAGGTAAACATTATCCATTTTTTCCCTTAAATAATAACCACATAAAAATAAATCAATTATTAAAGAGGAAAATTGCCCATCAAAATGCTTCCTTTTTGTGTCGCCTTGAAAAGGCGACATATAGGGGTTACTTTTGTCGGCGTCGTTGTCAGCCTCGTTGTCGGCGTCCCCTAAAGCATAAGTCAGTCACTATAAGTCAGATTGACTTCAAACTTGGTATGCATTCTTCTTTCAATAACCCAAAGTGCAGAGCACAAGGACCGGTACACTGCATTTCTTATTTTTGAGTTATTACCCTTTGTTAATTTTCATACTTTATTTGTCCAGGCCATTTCTCATAAATTATAAAAGCTATGGATTTGAAACTTCATAGGATGATAGATCATATTGATAAGAAGTGCAGCGCACAGAAACTGCTGCTCTGCACTTCTTATTTTTGAAGTTATTGCCCATTTGTTAATTTTCATATTTCATTTTTGTTCTGGCCATTTCTCCTAAACTGTATTGTTCACAAGGCGACACTTCCGACTCGCGGAGTTCTTTAAGTTTTGACATTGATTTTTTACATTTTTTTTTATTGGCAAAGACCTAGGTCTTTTAAATTGGGATATTTATAATAGCCATGTTAAATGTAAGAAAATTGGATGAATTTCGTAGACTTTAATATATTTCATTCGTAAGAATTAAGCTTCATTGGGTAAATCTTTTGATTGATTTTCAAGATTTAATTGGGAATTTTCAACAGTTTTGTCAATCAGGTAAAAGCCTAAATGCAGCCATAATTTCTCTTTTTGAATTTTGATATGTTTATCCATCATTGTACAGATAGGCCAAGATCGCATATTATATTGTATCATAATTTCTTTGTCTCTTCTTTTGGCAGACGGATATTTGGGGTCTTGGTTGCTGTGTTTATGAAATGATGACCTTGAAGCGTGCATTTCAAGGTAAAGCATTATGGACGCTTATCCGTGAAATAAAAAATGGCAAAGTGTTAAATCTGCCGGACACATATAGTTTGGAGCTTCGTACCCTCGTACAGGAAATGATGTCACAGAAGCCCGAAGATAGGCCCAGCTCCAAGGACATTGTGCAGAATGATTTATTATCATATCATACGGTACATGTTAATGAAGCCTTAAACTGTTGTATGTCTTAAATTGACTTGTCCAACTTCCATTTTTAGATCTGTCTATCATTTTTAGGGGATATCAAGATGACAACTAGAACTAGGTCTGTCAACAGTATAGAGTCAGGTCAGGGTCAGATTGCATGTTTGTGTAGACTGGCCTGGCTCTATACCAGTGGCAAAGGCTAATTACTTTTGGTTCCAACTCAATTTTATATAATGTTTGTAAGTTTAACAAGAATATAAAACGAACTTATTCAACTTCAGTTTAGTATTGTCAATGTCAGTATAAAAATGCTAGTTTTGAGTTACCAACATTTATATGAATAAGAGCCCAGTCTCTTAGGGAACTAAATATTTTGTGATTATATGTGCAGTAGCAGTTAAGCAACAGCATGTAGTTGTTATAATATAGAGAAATAATGTATGAACTAATAGTAAATATATGTTTAAAATATAAAACAAATATGAATAGCAGAATTTATTCTCACTCTTTTTAATATAAATATTATTTAAGCTTGATTATAAAGAAAGTGTGTAACTTATTTAAACCAAACTTTCTCTTTCTGGAGCTAGTGTACTGGTGTCTTTTAAAGAAACATGATTGTGATTCTAGGAGGTCTCGAACCTAGGAAATTTGAGCTGAGAGGCTCTTAACCCTAGGCCCCCTTCCCTTTCCCATTATTTAGTTTTATTTTTTGTTTTAAAGGGTAACCCGGGAATGTGTTGATTTCAAACTTTCCCCCCCCGCAGTTGAAAAGAAACCCGTTCACCCCCCCTTTCCCCGCGTCCTGCAAGTGGGTCAGGTTTAGGGTCGTTGGGGGCCCGGGCTTCTTTAAAAAAAATAAAGAAAAATTTTTAAAATTATAAATTTTTTGAAAAAAATTTAAAAACAAAGAAACTCTCAAAAAGGCACTGTTGAGGATTTTGATACGTTTGTTTACAAAGGTGATAGTGACAGCGAAGAGGAATTAGAAGACACCGGTACAATTCTTGATAAAAGTTTGTTAAAACAGTATACAGAACAGCTTGATACATTTGTGTTCAGGGGGGAGGGAATTTTAGATTCTGATAGCGATTATTCAACAGGTGGTTCTGTGAAAAATAAAGGGTCAAAGGTCAATGTTGATGAGGACGATGATGACATGAGTCGAACTTTATTGAAACAGTATTCAGAGACCTTGGAAGAAGATGATGAGGAGGTAGGGTTACAGGAAGAAAATGGGAGTGGGAAAGGGGCGGGACCAGGGGATAATGATTCTTACCATGAAAATAATGGAGATATAGAGGAAAATGACTCGGGCTGGGGTCTATCAGACTCGCCGCAAACTAGTAACAACTTTGAGGAAACGTTTGTTAGTAAATACCAATACAAAGGTCTGAAAGATACTTTTGCTATGAGACCTGACAAAAGATGGTCTAAACATCATGCTGATACAAGAGATTTGTTTTGTCCAAGAGTTGGAGAGGAAAAAACTACGAAGAAAAATCAGTGAAAAATCGCCCTTTTTTTTTTTGTAAAAAAAAGTTTTTCCCTGATTTAAAGTGATAAACGTCAAAATATTAAAAACCTCATGTGGGACTCTCATTCCGAAGACTGTAAAAGATCACCAAAGTTCAGAAATAATGTGTTTTATGCATCAAAAGTCGTGGTAAGTAAAATTTGTGGTAACTCACCTCTTTTTTCAGTAGGGAAGAAAATTGGGGAAACATGCCCGAAAAGGGTTTTGGGCCCCTGTAATAATTTTATCGAGGGGTATATAAGCTAAAGCCCAATCATGTGTGCCTTTTTTAATGAGTTATCAAATAAACACTGACTTTGAATTTTCTTTCCCTTTTCCAAAGTAAGTTTTAAATTCCCCCTCTGTTATTTTTTGGTTTTTTTCTGTTTAGGGAGCTGCTTGCAAGCTCAAAGGGAAATTTTTTTTTTATTTAAAATTTTGGGGGCTTTTGGGACAGAAACCCTTTCATGGGTGGCTGGGTTTTGTTTTTTCCCAACCCCGAAAAGCTAAAAAAAGGGGTTTATGTAAAATGGGAACTACAACCAAACAAATGAATAAATGTCAATTTTATTTTTTTTTCTCTAAACCCGCTGAATTTCTTAATTGACTTGTTCAGTTTAAATTTTTGGAAGAAATAATTTTTGGGTGAAAGTTTTTAAAAAGTCAAAATTTTAAAACCTGGTCAGGGCTACTGGATGTCAGGGCCCGAAAAAGGAAATCCCAATGTTAAAAAACAAAATCTATTTCGGGGTTTCCCAAAATTTTTTTTTGTCTTGATAAAATTGATTTTAAATTTTTGTTTTGGGCCATTTTAGTTTTCCCAATATATTCCCCTCATATTTTTTATTTCCCACCAAACCTTCCTTTTTTTGGTTTTCACCAACCCCAAAAATTTTGGCCCAAATTTTCCCAAAGATCCCATCAACCCACCCAAAAACATTAAAATCATTTCCCCACTTTTTAAATCAAACGGCTGATTAAACAGATATAAAAATTTTGAATTAAACTTTTTTTTTACTGGGTTTTTCTTTTTTTTTTTTCACTGTTAAAAAAAAATTTTTGGTTGAGGATTTTATCCCAAATAAAAAGGGGAAAAAAAAAAGGCCCAAACCCACCTTAAAAAGCCAAAATTTAGAGGAGGGGTTTTTAAGGCCCTTTGGGCTTTTTCTTTTATTTTTTATCTAAAATTTTTTGTTGCACCCAAAAAATTTATTCCATAAAAGGGAACTTTTTAACTCGGATTTTTTAGGAAAAACTAAACCTAAAAATCCCCTCGGGGGCGGCCGCCAACCCTTTTATTTTTCGTACCCAAAACCCCCAAAAATTTTAGAAGTATTACAAAATGGCCCCTTTTAAACTTTCCTCTATTTCAAAATTCATAAAATTTACCCGACAAGAGTACCCTAAACCCGTCAAAGGTTTTTTACCCGGGAATTTTTGGCCCTTTTTTTTCTTAGAAAGTTTTATTGAAACTTTCGGTTTAATTTTTTTTTAAAACCCCCTCACTTTATTTCAAAACCCAATTTAGGTATTGGCCCTTTTAAAACTGACCATATTTTTTTACCCTTTAGAAAATTCCAACAACAAGAAATAACCTTTTCAAGGGGTTTTTAAAAGAATTATGCCCCTTTTTTACTTAAAAAACATTTAATTTTGGGTTAAAAAAAACCCCTTATTGCCTTTAACCCTTTTTTAAAAATTGCTTTGAAAAAATTTTAAAGCTATTTTTACATCATTACCCCCAATTCTGTACGCAGAAAGGTTTCTTCCGGTCAAGGGGTTTGTTTTAAAAAAATTTTTTATTTTGGGAAACTTTGGTTTTAAGTTTTTAAAATTTCCATTCCCCCTTTTTGACCCGAAACTGTTTGAGAAAATTTTAAATTTTAAAGTTGGAATACTTGTTTAAAAATTATGATTCCCAAACATTTCCAGGAGAAAAGGGAATTTTTGTCAAAGATTTTTAAATTTTAAAATTTTGGGGCCCCCTTAAAATTTTAAAAATTTTTTATTTTTAAGGGAAGCCCCCAAAAACCTTTAAAAAAACTAAAAAAATTTATTTCCACTTTTTATTCCTAAAAATTATAAAAAAATAATTCTTCACTAAATACTTAAAATTTTTATTTTTCACCCTTTTTTAAAAACAAAGGGGGGGGTGGGGGGGGGGGTTTTTGGACCCAAAAATTTTTTATTGGAAGCAAAAAAAAAGCGAGCGCGCTGTCCTTTCGGACACTCTTGTTAGCTCACCTTTCATACGTGGGCAAACAGAGCCCTTTTAGGAGTCCTTTTTTTCCCTTCCCATTCCTTTTCCCCCCGTTTTGGGTTGGGCAGATTTTAGATTAATTAGACATGTGCTTTTTAAAAAAGGGTTTTTTCAAAATGATAGTGCAGCCACACATCCAAAAAATTTTAAATTTTTTTTTAAAAATTTTTAAGTTATTTTAGGTGATTGAAAAAAAATTTTGCAGCCCATCAGAGAATACAGTAATATTTATTCAAACAGAAAATAAATAAGAAAAAAAAAAAAAAAAAAAAAAAACCCCCTTAAATTTTGGGTTTTTTTGGGAATTTTTTTTGGGCTAGTGAAAATTTCCCGTATTTTCTCCAGAGGGCTTGTAAATTTTTTTAAAAATTTTTGAATTTTTCAGCTTTTAACAAAAAGCTTTTAATCCAAAATAAATTTTAACCCCGACAAAAATTTTGGGAAAAACCAGGGCCCGGCTGGGAAAGAATAGGTTATTTTTACATTATATTGATTTTAAATTTGTTTTTGAAATTTTTTAAAAATTTTTTGCGCATTGTTGAAAAGGGTTTAAATTTTTGCACTCTGTTGTTGATATTATTCAAAATGTAACATTATAATTATCCCTATTATATAATTTTCAAGGGGGCATTTGAAATTTCCACCCTTATTTAAAAAAAAATTTAAAAATTTTTGTTTAAATTTTCCCGCTTAAAAAACAAAACAAATATGGTTTGAACTCAGGTAATGTTTTTAATATATGCAGTGTAAAATACATTAAAAATTTAATTATATAGTTTAAATTTCCCTTTTTTTATTATTGTTTTTTTCCAAAAACATTTTTTTTGAGCCAAAAAAATATATAAGAAAAGAACCGAAGGGGGATTTACTTGGCCGCGCTTTTAAATTGCATCTTTTTACAATGGGCACATTTCTATAAGTAAAATTTTACATTTTTTATATAAACAATAAAAAAATCACCATTTTTGGTTACTTTATTTTGGTAACAAAAAAAATAAAGCAAAAAAATGAATGCCTTCCATAATGTTACATCGATCAAGTCTTGAATTTTGGCTTTTTTTCATGAACCCCCTAATTTAAAAAGCTTTTAAAAAAATTCTTTGGTTTATTTTTTTTAAAATTTTAAAAATTAAATTTTTTTTTTTTATCGGGGACAAAATGGAGGTAAAATTTAAAAAAACGTAATTTTTTTTCCACCCGGGCTTTTTTAAAACCCAAAATTTAAAATAAATTCGAATTAAAAAAGGAGGAAAATGGTTTAAGGTTTTAAAAACCCCAAAAAACTGAACATCCTTTTTGAAAAATCTGGGCATCTTTTTAACAAAAAACTGGGGCACCCCTTTATATTGTCAATTTTTCCTTTTTTTTTAGTTTTTCTCCCTTGTTTTTTTCATATTTAGTTGTGTTCTTTTTGTAACCCGTGTTACTTGGTTTTTTCTTTTCTTATTTGATTTTTAAATTACAATTTTGTATATTTTTTGATTTCTATTTTATAATTCATTTTTTTAAACTCTCAATTTCTTTTAATAAAACCTTTTTAGTTACCCCCCCCTTTCCCCTTTTTTAATATAAAACCTTTATTTTTATCCCCCTTTAAAATCTATCTAGTAAAATTCTAAATAACATTTTCCCCTGATATTAAAATACATTGTATAAAAAATATTTAGTTCTTTTTGATTTTCAAATATTTCTATATTTCTTTTTTTAAAAAATAAACAAAGTATTAAAATAGCTAAACTATTTTAAAAAACATTTTGTACAATTTTTGGGATTAAGTAATGTTCCATTTTCAGTGTCAAAAAGGGTATGTATGGGTTTTTGCATTTTTTTTCCCCCAAAGTGTTGGGGATGTGTTTTTTGAAATTTTTTTAAAAAAAGTTATTGTAAATCTATTGGGTTTTTAAACCCGGGTTTGGGTATCTTTTGGGGTTTTTTTATTTAAGGTTTTTTTTTTCTTTCTTTTTTACTTATTATTTTTGTTCATTTATTGTTAAAACAGAATGTTTTAATAATTTAATTTTATATTTTTTACATTAAATTTATAAAATATAAAAAAAAACATACTAAATTTTTCTATTTATTGCAATTAATCCCCTGTAAAGTCTTTTGAGGGTTTTTTGTCAGCTTTAAACAATGCATTGTGGGGGAGTACTAGAAACTGTAAAATAAAAATAGAAAAATATATAACCCAAATTAAACAGTTTTAAATTTTTCATTTAAAATAAATCCCGCCAAGTTTAAACCCCTTTCTGTGCTGAAAAATGAACTTTATATTAAACATTTGTCATCAAAATAGAGCCCGGGGCCCGTCAGCACGTCAATTGGGAACTTACCAGCCTTTAACGTTTCCCCTAAAATTTTTATTTACATCTTGAATTTCCCCAAAAAGATAAAATTTTCAAAAAAGAGAGTTGGGGGAAATTCCCTTTTAAAATTTAGTTGGGTTTTTGGGGTAATCAAACATGGAAATGAAGTCACGGTAAACCTAGTATTTCTTGAATTATCAAAAAATCAAATAATAAAATTTGCAAAAGGGAGCACACAAACTTAAAAACTGACAAAAGTTAACAGTTTTCATTTTTGGCCAACACTGTTAAAACCCCTCAATCATATTTTTTTATTTAAAAATTTCCCTTTAGGGAAATTTTTTTTTAAAATGACAATATTTCAACCGGGCCCCCTTTTTTTTCCTTTTTTGGGTCACCTTTTACAAAATAAAAGGGGGAGGGGTTTTTTGATCCTTTTCGGGCCGGGGCCCGTCGTCCCTCCCCTCCGTAAACTTTTGCTTAAAAAGACAATTTTCCTCATAAACCCCCTGAGCCCAAATTTTATTTTCCAAAATTCAACCCGGAATTTCCCACCCAAAAATTTTTTCAAAGAAATTTTTTTTCCTGCAGAAATACTGGTTGCCATGGCAACCAAAAGAAAAAACTTTTAAATATCTTCTTTTTAAAAAAACCATAAAGAGCTAGAGCTTTAAGATATTTGGCATGAAAACAGTCTTCTAGTGAGTGTCTACCAAGTTTGTTTCAAATAAAAGCCCTGGGGGTCAAAATTGGCCCCGCCCCAGGGGGGGCATTGATTTTCCATATATGCAATATAGTAAAAACTTAAAAATCATCTTTTAAAGAAACCCAAAAGAGCTAGAGCTAAGATATTGGGCATGAAAAATCTTCTAATGAGTGTCTACCCCAAGTTTGTTCAAAATAAAAGCCCTGGGGTCAAAATTGGCCCCGCCCTGGGCGTCATTGATTTTCCCTATATGCATATAGTAAAAACTTAAAAAATCTTCTTTTAAAGAACCCGTAAGAGCTAGAAGCTTAGATATTTGGCATGAAACATCTTCTAGTGAATGTCTACCAAGTTTTGTTCAAATAAAAGCCCTGGGGTCAAAATTGGCCCGGCCCCAGGGGGTCATTTGATTTTTCCCTATATGCATATAGTAAACTTAAAAAATCTTCTTTTAAAAGAACCCAAAGAGCTAGAGCTAAAGATATTAAGCTTGAAAACATCTTCTAGTGAGTGTCTACCAAGTTTTTGTTCAAATTAAAGCCCTGGGGTCAAAATTGGCCCCCCCCGGGGGTCATTGATTTTTCCCTATATGCATATAGTAAAAACTTAAAAATTCTTCTTTTAAAGAACCCATAAGAGCTAGAAGCTAAGATATTAGCATGAAAACATGTTCTAATGGGTGTTACCAAGTATGTTTAAAATAAAAGCCCTGGGGTCAAAAACTGGACCCGCCGCGGGGGTCACTTGATTTTCCTTATATGTGTATAGCCAAAACTTTAAAAAAATCTTCTTTGGAAAAACCCAAAATAGCTAGAGTTTAGATATTAAGCTTTGAAAACATCTTTAAAAGTAAATATCTACAAAGTTTGTTTGTAAAATAAACGCCCGGGGGTCAAAAACTGGCCCTGCCCCCAGGGTGTCAATTTTTTTAACTATAATGTGTATAAGTAAAAACTTAAAAAATCTTCTTTTAAAAAAAGCCAATGAGCTAGAACTTAGATGTTTTAGCTTGAAACATCTTTTTATAGGGGGGTCTAAGGCCAAGTCTGTTCAAATAAACAAATAAAATGCCCTTGGGTAAAAATTGGCCCGGGGGTGGGGGGGCCTATATACAGGTGAGCGACCTCAGGGCCATCATGGCCCTCTTGTTAAGATATTCTAAGTTCTAACAGGCATTAAGGTGTTTCTTTGCTTTGGTCATTGTGGTGAAATTGCTTTGACTTCATTGCTTTGTACCTTTGGTGAAATAGGTTTCATTATCTGATGTGATTGCTTTGAGCATTAAGAGAATTGTTTTGGCAAGCAAGCTATGTGTGGAAGCTGTTATAATAGATGTGATGCAACTGAATTTGTAGAAAAAAGTTTTGAGCTTTTTTGTTTACGCTAGCTTTTGGTGTTTATTATTCTATATAATTTGAAATTTTCTGAGATACATTTTTTGTTTATGAGAATATCTGTACTCTAGTTTACTAGAGAATCCCAAAGGTTTGTTCCCCTCCAAGTAAAATGCAACTTATCTACTTGAAAAAATTGCAAGACATAAAATTATTTTTGTTATTAAAAGGATGTATCCTTCTGGCATTGTACACTCTGGACAATTTCCCATGTGCCTATAAGGATAATGAGGAAAAGAGCATAACTCTCTTATCCAGTCAGAAATTTAAGCCCCCTTTCTTGAAAATTATGTCCTTTTTCAAGACACTTGTTTAACAAAGTTTAATGCATTCCATTAGTAACATTTCTCTCTTGTTAGATTTTTTTCCACCAAATTATGGTCATTTTGGAAGAATTTTTATTGTTGCCATGTTTAAAAATGGAATTAAATTACTTGGTACTTACTTATATGAAGAAGTTTTGAATGTGTTAATAGCCTGTGATGAACAATAATTCTTTGTCTACCTCTGTGAAGCTCCCTAGGGAGAGCATTTGATTTGTTAATCTAAGGGGTCTAAAGGGTTCAAATCCTCAAGGCAAAGGAAAAATTTGTTCATGACCGAATCTCAACATTAAGTGTAATGGTAATTTTGTCTCTAATTGCTAAGAAAACCATGTGGGATTTAGTAAGTCTGTCACTTGGCCGAAAATTTGGTAATAACTGTTAGTTACACAAAAAGGCTGGTTGAACCAAACCCAAAAAATGTGCTGAAATCCTGGCAAGCTTACAACCTTCTTCATCTTCAGCCTATAGGGGAGTTACTTGTAACTCAATTTATGTTTTATGGTAAATTTTCCTACAAAGTTTCTATGAAAAGAAGTTGATTTCTGTTTTCTCGTATTTCACTGGTGAAAAATAAAATGACACAATCTTCTATCCCACATTCATTTGCTGAACTGACATAATATCCTTTATTTTGACTCAATATGTAGAAACCCAATTTCACAGTAATAATTGTTATAAATATAGATAATATTGTAAGTTAATATTAATTTTGGATTGTGACGACTTATTATTTCAAACAAAAATCAGTTTGTTTTACATCTGTATTAAACCATGCTGGAGGAATAAAGATGACAAGAAAGTCTGCTCCAAGTTTTTATTATTTCAAATTGTTGCTTTTAACTTCTACCAAACATTATAAAATTTGAGCCAGTGAAGTCAAATGAAATCATACTGGTTTATTTATGAAAAAACACAATTCTGTTGCTGCCAATAGGGGCATTTTAACATCATATTAATGCTCTTTAATTACAAAATAATACTGCAGAAGTAAAGCTGATATATTTTAATGTATGTATACCAAAAATAATCCAGATCTGGGATGTTGTCAGATTTAGATGCGAGCTACTTTAAACACCATTTTAGTTTGATACATGTAAATTTTAGCGCACACCCCAGAAATATCAATACATGTACAAAACTAAGTAGATGTAATTAAACTTTAGCATATTTATGGCAACAGATTATACCCATGTAACTAGTACTAACCAAGATCAGCCGGCACTTTTGTGCTCTCTTATCATGGTCTGCACTGTTCGCAATTCAGTCAATACATATTTTGAAATCTTCTTTAAAATGAAAATGGTTTTGTCCAGATTGATAGATGGGCAAGTCCATTTAAGATATTTAGCATGATAAAGGGTTAATAAGTTGTCACATTCCTTTTATTTCTCTAACAGTCTCTTTATTAGTACAATATATACATATATTTTCCTGCATGCTTATTTTGTTTTATATAGTACACTATCTGATGAGAATGGTAAATGCTCCATACAAGATATCATCAGTAAGTTGAATCAACACAATGCTTTTAATTATACTGTAGTTATAGTCAGGTGGCCCCCTTTTATTGCCTATTGAAAACATGCATGTATTGGCCCAAGGTGACACTCTTGACGAGTGATTTATATGAGCCGCGTCACGACAAAACCAACATAGTGCGTTTGCGACCAGCATGGATCTAGACCAGCCTGCGCATCCGCACAGTCTGATCAGGATCCATGCTACCCTATAACAAGTAAATAAACTGATAGCGAACAGCATGGTTCCTAATCAGACTGCGCGGATGTGCAGGCTGGTCTGGATCCATGCTGGTCGCAAACCCATTATGTTGGTTTTGTCATGACGCGACTCATATATGTCACTGACATCAAATCATTTGCCTTTCACCCCCTCAAGTTCAAATCTTAACAAGAATATTATAATCATTTCTTGTTAAGAACTTATCCAGCTAGCGTTATAAAACTTAAAAGGTTCATATTTTGTTATTGGTGCCACTTCAAGTCTGAAATAATGCATTTTTATCCCAACTATTTGATAAGAATAAGTAAAGCTATCCTAGTCACCCAAGTGTCTACATAACCACTTGTGTTAAAGTTTTTGTAATACCTCAAATATTTTCAAAGTCCATAGACAACTTCTATTTTAGGTGTCTCTTTAACTTGTTTTACGTTTGACTTTAAAAATTTTGTAATCATTTACAAAAAACTATCCTCATTCTTGTACATTTTATTTTAGAACTTTTCTTTTCATTTTGTTTTATAGTTGCAAAAACTATCCCGTATTAACTTTTATTTTAGAGCTATCCTTAAAATTTTATTTTAGAATGGTTAGAACTGTCCTTAACATTTTATTTAAGAATGACCAATGAGATCGATTTCAGTTTGCAATTCTAAAATGACCAATGAAAGTTCTTTTTGTATTCAGTCCTTCCCTGTTAATTTTAAAGGAAGTCCATCTGATAACTGACAGACTTTGTCCGAAAAAAATATTGGCCGTAAAATTTTACATCATCAAGGCTCTTTTACTATCAAGCACTAAGATTAGTCAAGCGCTGTCCTACCGACAGCTCTTGTCAAGCATCTTATGTGTTTTTTTAGGCACCATAAAAGAAGTTTACATGTGACCTTTAGAGTGTCTGTGTATTTTAGCCGTTAGACTGCTGGCCGTTATTGATTCTACCCACGTGACCATTGCAGACAAAAATCGGCCACCACTTATCTGCACTGTTCCTTATGCAGTTGGTACATATCTTGAAATTTACCCTGAAAGTGGTGAATGGTTTTGTCCACATTGAAAGATGGACAAGTCCATTTAAGATATTTAGTGTAGTTAGGGTTAATTTAGCTCTCCTGGTCCATAGTTAACAAAATTCCTATCAGACTTTTTCCACATCCTTCAGCCCATTCTTTTAATTTGTATGTAAAAGTTTCAAGTGTTAATTTTTTTTCTGTTTGATTTGGTATGATTCGCAAATTGTTTTTATTTTCAAATGAGAAACGTTTTGCTATCAGTGTCATTACTTTGTGCAATATTAAGTATAAAAAATTCTATATTGTTGCCAGGACAGAACAGTAAATAATAAAAAAGCCCCCTCCCCCCTGGTGACTTAGGGGTTGCCCTGAAGGGTTGTTACATATTATATATATTGCCCTATGACCACTGTAAAACCAAACCAAACAAAAAAAGTTTCTGAATTTATACATTTCAAATTTTATATATGTATATAATGCATGTATTTTTTGTATGACAGCATGCTATAGGATAAGCTTTGCTTTAATTTTGTTGGCCCCATATATCACAGGAAAGGGTTATAAATAATTATAAGCTTTTACAAAATATCATAACCTGCAGAAATTACAATAAAACTTGTACCCAGATGCCTCAAAACATGTATTGAAAATGCCTCAATTTAACTTTGTCCTTATTATAATTCATATTCCTCTTGTGTCCTAATTATATTCTTTTGTACTAACCATATTGTTCATGATTATGCCCTGATTGAGTGCTCATTGATAATTTAAATGTTATTTTTTTTAAACATCATAAAAATAAATCATCATGTTCACTGAATGCAGCCACTTGCATTATTCAGGCTCTAAATTAGACATTATGTGTGTTGGGAGGAGGGCATTTGTCATGGAATAAGCTGAAATAGAGGGGCAGACCAATTAAGTATTGAAAGTTCAATTAAAATGGTCAGGAATTTAAGAAAGAGTAGGGAGGGATTAAAAAGAAGATGAGTAACAAAAATCAAAGAGGAGAAGAGGAAATGAAAGAGTAGTGTCAAAAATGAAGGGGAAGGGTTGACATGAAAGTAGTGGCAAAAAATGATAGGGGAGGGAGGGAAATAAGAGGGGTGTCTAAAACAAAAGGGGAGGAGAGGAAAAATAAGAGGAGTGTCAAAAATGAAAGGTAAGGGTTGAAATGAAAAGGAGTGGCAAAAATGAAAGGGGAGGGAGGGAATTTAGAGGGGTGTCTAAAACAAAAGGGGAGGAGAGGAAATGTAAGAGGAGTGTCAAAAATGAAAAGAGGAGTGTCAAAAACAAAAGGGGAGCAAATGATCTTAAGGTGGATTGTGTTCTTTAATACTTCTCATTTAAACACACTAGGTCTGGGGTTGATGGTGATCTATCCAGAACATTCTCTTTTAGTTATGAGCATTTGAAAGGTGTCTTGCCACACTTCATGGCCAAATTAAGCCAGCATGTTCTGAACTGTAATCCAAATTTTTGTTGTCTCCTGTATCTGGTTGATGGCTAATTATTCGCCCCTTAACAGCTTTGGATACTACCAGGGGGGGGGGGGGGATGATTTGTTTAAAAAAAAAAGTTTTCCCAATACCTTTCATAAGTAAAGTTAATGTAAACAAACAGTCATGTTTGAGTCATGTTAGCTTTATATGTCAGGTTTTAGCACTTTCTCAGATATACATTGTATTCAGTTCTTTTATTTGTTACAGAAAGTTTCTAAACAGTCAAACATTGTATGTGCAGTTATTGCCCTTTCTCTAGGAAAGCATGTTTGCAAAATGAATCATTTCAGTTTAGTTTAACCCAAAGGAAAATGAAGCACTTAGTTAAAAAATAATGTGAATAAAAAGATAAGGTTAACCCAAAGGAAAATGAAGCACTTAGTTAAAAAAATTATGTAAATAAGAGTTTAGTTTAACCCAAAGGTTCTATAAATCAAATTATCTTACATTAATATACATACAAAAAAGTTTAGTTTAACCCAAAGGATGTATAAATGAAACAATCTTGTATAAATTTACAGGCTGTATTCAGAACGGTTGTAGTGATGCTGAGAGGAATGAACAGATTCTGATTGTACAACAGTAAGTTATCATCTATCGAGTTTATTATTACTTGTGGCTGAGGGGTTGCCTTTGAAGTGTTGAGGCATCAGATTTGCAGCCACCATTTAACCCTGTGTGATCGTAAGAGGCAACTAAATTAGTTTGAATTACTGAAGTATATGCATCTCTTAGCTCCAGCAGGTGAGGTGGCTTTGAACCCTGGTGTTGCTTTAAGTTTGTAACATCCACGGTTTTGCCAAAGTCATCTTTTCTGTTTCAGTGCCATATGGCTTAAATTGTGTTGGTGCACCGTAAAACAAATCCAAATACACAAACTAAATACCTTGACATCCCTATTACTGAACATATCAGTAAAAATAACATAATTAAGTGGCAGCATGGCTGAGTGGTTAACACGTCAGACTAGTAATCTAGTGATCGCTAGTCACATGGGTTCAAGCCTGCCAAGGGCAAGTTATTTTCTTAAGCAAGACACTTTACACTCATTGCTCAGAACATGTTGGTTCCAGGAACAGATTAGAAAGTGTGTGTGTATGAGTATATCTTCCTGTTCTTTATAAACCAATATAATGTAATTGTATAAAAACAAACCTGTAGAAAATGTAACTTATATATTGCTAATTAGTGATTAAAATTATTTTGATTTTGATTTTCTGATTTGACAAATGTTGTACAGTTTCATTATCTTTATTCAAGTGGACTATTTTGTCTTGACAAATGATGTAAAATGTCATTACCTATATTTCAGTGAACTTCTTGCCTTGACAAATGATGTAAAATGTCATTACCTATATTTCAGTGAACTTCTTGCCTTGACAAATGATGTAAAATGTCATTACCTATATTTCAATGAACTTCCTGCCTTGACAAATGATGTAAAATGTCATTACCTATATTTCAGTGAACTTCTTGCCTTGACAAATGATGTAAAATGTCATTACCTATATTTCAGTGAACTTCTTGTCTTGACAAATGATGTAAAATGTCATTACCTATATTATAGTGAACTACTTTGTCTTGACAAATGATGTAAAATTTCATTATCTATATTTCAGTGAACTACTTTGCCTTGACAAATGATGTAAAATGTCATTACCTATATTTCAATGAACTTCCTGCCTTGACAAATGATGTAAAATGTCATAACCTATATTTCAGTGAACTACTTTGTCTTGACAAATGATGTAAAATGTCATTACCTATATTTCAGTGAACTTCTTGCCTTGACAAATGATGTAAAATGTCATTACCTATATTTCAGTGAACTTCTTGCCTTGACAAATGATGTAAAAGGTCATTACCTATATTTCAATGAACTTCCTGCCTTGACAAATGATGTAAAATGTCATTACCTATATTTCAGTGAACTTCTTGCCTTGACAAATGATGTAAAATGTCTTTACCTATATTTCAGTGAACTTTTGCCTTGACAAATGATGTAAAATGCCATTACCTATATTATAGTGAACTACTTTGTCTTGACAAATGATGTAAAATTTCATTATCTATATTTCAGTGAACTTCTTTGCCTTGACAAATGATGTAAAATGTCATTACCTATATTTCAATGAACTTCCTGCCTTGACAAATGATGTAAAATGTCATAACCTATATTTCAGTGAACTACTTTGTCTTGACAAATGGTGTAAAATTTCATTATCTATATTTCAGTGAACTAACAGCTGGAGTTGGCTATGACAATCTAAGAAAGGTGCTTGATATAATTAGTATGATAAGTGATGAACAAGAAATGCAGGTAATGTTTTAGTCTTGAACCTTTGATTTACCTTGTACATCTTAAATCTGCATAAATGTTCTTTGCCACCTGAAAAGAGCCAGGCACAGGTGCCAATCCTTAAAAGTTTGACCCAAAAATGCTGGCTTAGCTCATTGGGAAGAGCATTGGATTTGTTATCTAGGGGAGGATTTGTTATCTAGGGTTTGCTGGTTGGATCCTTGGGTGAGGTGAAATTTCTTTGTGACAATCAATCTCTGACATTGAGTCTCAAGTGTTTTTCGTCTCTTGCGGCTGATTTGGAAATTATGCAGAATTACCGGTCAGTTGACTTATCAGTTGACTTAGTAGTTACTGGTTAGTTATCCAGGAAAACTTGATAGGTGGATTTACTAAAATATGACCCAACAATTAATTATACCCCCACCACAAAATGTGGGGGGGGCTATAATGGATTCGCTTTGTCGCGTCGGTCGGTCGGTCCGTCCGTCGGTCGGTCCGTCCGTCCGTCTCCATTTTCGTGTCCGCTCTATAACTCCTATACCAATTGAAGGATTTTCTTCAAACTTGGCTCAAATGTTCACCTCAACAAGGGGATGTGCAGAACCCATATTGCCCATGTGTCAGTTCAAGGTCAAGGTCACAATTGAAGGTCAAATATCAAACACTATCAAATATTACACAGTATGTCGTGTCCGCTCTGTAAGTCCTACACTACTTGAAAGATTTTCTTCAAACTTGGCTCAAATGTTCACCTCAACCAGGGGATGTGCAGAACCCATGTGGCCCATGTGTCAGCTCAAGGTCAAGGTCACAATTGAAGGTCAAATATCAAACAATTAAATATTACACAGTATGTCGTGTCCGCTCTGTAAGTCCTACACTACTTGAAAGATTTTCTTCAAACTTGGCTCAAATGTTCACCTCAACAAGGGGATGTGCAGAACCCATGTTGCCCATGTGTCAGCTCAAGGTCAAGGTCACAATTGAAGGTCAAATATCAAACAATCAAATATTACACAGTATGTTGTGTCCGCTCTGTAAGTCCTACACTAATTGAAAGATTTTCTTCAATCTTGGCTCAAATGTTCATCTCAACCAGGGGATGTGCAGAACTTATGTCACTCTTTTGCTGGCTTAAGGTCAAGGTCACACTTTGAGGTCAAAAATTGATTTAGAAAATATTCTTAAATTTTAACATTTATTTGAATATTTCTAAATCTAGAAAAGGTATTTGCTTGAAACTTAATATATTTTTGAAGGGTCAATTTAATTCCAATATGCTGTTCGTTCAAGTTTCATAACTCTGTATTGCATTTTACCAAAGTTATGCCCCTTTTTAAGTCTTCAAATTTACATACAATCAAATATTAGACAATATGTTGTGTCCGCTCTATAAATCCTATACTAATGGTAGAATTTTCTTCAAACTTTACTCAAATTTTCACCTCAACAAGGTTATGTGCAGAATCCAGAATCCATGTCACCTTTGTGCCGGCTAAAGGTCAAGGTCACACTTGAAAGTCAAAAATTGACTTAGAAAATGTTCTTAAATTTTAACATGTACTTGAATAATTCTGAAACTAGCGCAGGCATTTGCTTGAAACTTAAAAGATATATGAGGTGTGCAGGTCAAGTTTCATTACTCTGTATTGCATTTTGACAAAGTTATGCCCCTTTTTAGTCTTCAAATTTACATACAACCAATACTAGACAATATATTGTGTCTACTCTATAAATTCTATACTAATGGAAGGATTTTCTTCAAACTTTACTCAAATGTTCAACCAAACTGGGTGATGTGCAAAACCCATGTTACCCTTGTGCCAGATTTAGGTCAAGGCCACACTTGAAGGTCAAAAATTGACTTATAAATAAAATGTTTAATACATTGGGAAAAGGAAAGGTTATTTGTAACTGTTTAGAACATGATTTGATAATATATATTTATACTATTACCTGTACAATTAGTCTTTTTTTCACCAGAGATAATTTCTTTTTATGTATTTGTGCCACATAAGTTATTCCCTTAACCACCTTTCCTAGTGGTCTTCTGTCAAGGACATTGGTGGGGGTATGAATCGCATTCAGCGATAGTTCTAGTTAAAATTTGTGTAAAAGCCAAAAACAACAACAAAAAACTAAGAATGTTATATTTCAAAATACTGTTTTGTTTTTGTAAGAAATATTGTCTATATAAGTATATATGCCAGTCAACAAGTTTTAGTGAATCACTAAATTCAGCTTTAGATCAATTGATTTATAACTTATTTGTTGAAAACTTACAGTACAGTTTTTCATCTAGAATGAACCATATTTATACATAAAATTAAAAAAAATAAATGAACTAAATACTTATGTCATATGTAGTAAGGTCACAAAGACAATGTATATAGAACAATTTCCTTCAAATCACTATGAAGTGGTAAAATGATCATACTTACAACCCCTAGAGACTTCTTTCATGTCAGAAAGTTATCCAGCTAACTTACAGAATGTGGGTGGTTCTACTGAAGTGCCAGCTCAAGCCTTAAATAATTCTCAAAAGGGCAATTGAAGTCTTCATTAGTGAAGCTGGAAAGTCACAATATGACTTTAAAACTGTTGGTGTTTCTTGTTACATGTAGGTGCCCACTTGTGTCCAAAGGACACAGAAGGATACCTGTAGTAAAGCTAGAATGTCAGCATATTAGTATTTCTGTGTAAGTATGACTTAAAACCAAACAAAACTTTATCATACTGTCATTCTATAAAAAATCAGTTATTTTCTTTTATCACACACCCGTGCCGATTTTGCGACTCTGTAAATATGGTATTGCACGGCTGTGCATATATTTTGACGTGACGTCATTAGCGTACAAACATAGCGTTAAGACGCGCTAAATGTTGGCGTTATACTATAGGCGCGTCAATGTAAAATGACTCTTATTTCACTTTAAACAGTCTTTATTTTTGGTATGTGATAAATAGAATATTAAATTCGTGTAAGTTCATTACTGAATTTATTGCACTCATTGAATAAAATAATATTATGCACGCCAAAGGCTCGCATAATATAATTTTATTCAACTCGTGCAATAAATTCAGTATTGAACTTGCACTCATTCAATATCCTCTATATAATATTTTTTGATAAATGTATTTATGATAAAAGAAAAGATAATATTTTTTGATAAATGTATTTATTATAAAAGAAATGAGTGAACTATTTATTTTGAATTTCATTTTACTATAAATATACATGTATAATAAAAATATACAAGAAAATAACTGATTTTTATAGCATGACAATACATGTACGTACATGCACAGATGATTCTTATTTAGGCTAAGTTAATAAAGATATTTGGGCATTTTATTCTATATTTTTTCATTTTAATCTATCTGTTTTCATGACTTTTATTTGTTTTTCAGATGCACATTACCCATATTTTAGGTCCAAAGCTGTTTGAAGAATATAAAGAACATTTAACAGTACTACGCTTATTAGAAGGGAAAAGTTAATAATTCCATAAATGAATAGTAATGTTTAAAGTTGCATGCCTCCAGATAAGCCAAAATATTTCAAGAAAATAAACCAAAATTGAAAAAAGTTTTCTAAGATAGTTAAAAAAAGTAAAAAAGTCAAGATTCAAGAAATGGTAAACATGTTACAGTGTGTTTGGTAGATTCTAAAACTCAAGGGTCAGTGATCCATCACACAATAATTTTAAAGGTCAAACTCCAAGGGTCAGCATAATTTGAGTATCATTTATCTTAATTTCATAATTATGGACTAATCAAACCAACAGGATGAAATAAAAACCATGGATGTATATAACAATTTATCTATCAACTTGTATCCACCACATAAAACATATTTCTTAAAAAAACTTAAAATTACATGTATCCAATAGTGAAATTAATGTTAAGGCATATTTTGCCTCAGAAACAATGATATGATAGTTTTAGAGGAGATTCTAAACAATTATGCTAATGTCAGTCAACATCAGAATAATTATACAATAATCTAGTAATCATACATACTGACATTGGAGTGAAGAAGCATTATCAGTCAATCAAGTCCCTAATATGCTTTAAATTTACACATCAACAAAAATAAATGAATGCACTGGCAATAATTTAATGCTGAAATTATGATTACATGCTTAATAGTCCATAAATGAAAAAAACTTATCTGTCTATTTACAAAGACCTTGTACAACAAAAAAAAAACATTGACAGTAGTGTATTTTCAGCAACATTGTAATACATGTATCAGTAAATTATGCTGTGGAATTTCATAATATCCTTCATTTATCAATTAAAATATAAAAATTAATCAATGCACTGACATTTTGGATACCGTGTTACCTAACATACAATGTCATTTCTTTAAAATACAAAAAACATTGATTTTTTAAGTCAATTATTTAAAGTTCATTACATAGACCCACTTGCACGTACCACGTCTCCTCAAAGTTCATTCACATAATCATATGTTCATTTACGTCTCTACCTAATCATTAAATCTCTGCACAATGGCAGCTGCTGGAAAATCTTTGATAATATCACCTTCTTTAATTATTCTGATCAGTTTAGCAACTTTCTCATGGCTTATGCGGGACCTAGCTTTTGTCTTTAGTCTATTTTGGGTGGAAAAACCCCTTTCACATGCTACACTTGTAAGTGGGACGGTTAACATATACTTGGCCAGAACTGCATAGTCTGGATAACTGTCACTGAAGTCATTAATGATGATTTCACACACATTTGATAAAGTTTTTCCCCTCATGTTTTTTTAAAGTCATCTTGAATTGTGTATGGTCCTGTTTCATTCTTTCTGTGTCAAGTAAGCCCGGATGGTCATTGATTGGGCCTAGCCACTTGGTCACAGATTCAATATCTTCTTCCCCATACATAATGATGGAAGTGGTAGTCTCAGGAAGCATGTTTGGGTTCAGGATTTTATAAGCTACTGACAGTTTGTCCATGGATTCGTCTTCAAATCTGGCATTTAGATTGTCAACAAGATTGTTTATGTATTCATCTGCACTTGACTGAAATCCAATACGGATTAGTGGTGTGTCATTTAATTTTACATCAAGTTACTTCCCATCTTTGAGTAAATCATAAACTTTACTAAGGACCACACTATTTTTAATCTTTAAACTTTCAGCAGTGTCTTTGGTACTGGAAACTTGTGTAATTACAGTATCAATATTTAAATCATCTTTTTGGAACAATTTACACAGTTTATTCACACATTCTAGGATATCAATTAAAAACCTATTTCTTAGAATAAAGGCAGCATTTTTAACATTTTTCAGGATCCCCTTAGCATCTGCACTGCCAGTTGCTGCCTCTGCTTCAAGAGCTAATACAAGTGCTGGGTATACTTTGTATATTGTCTTCACTGCTGCCTCTAATGACAACCATCTGAAGCATGCTGGTTCCATTTGTGTTGTATGTGTGTCCCCATTCTCATCATTTAAAACATTCTCCATTTCTCTGGTGGTATTATAACGCAACTGAGTTGTGAAAGTAGCCATATATGTTTTTCACAGTGTTTTGGTATTCAGCAATTCTTTTGTTTCTTTACATGCCTGTCCAGCACACAGTGCTGGTCTATTGGCAACACAATGCACTTGAACAAGTCTATGGTTACTCTTCCTAAGCAAGGCACCAAACACCACCTTTATGTCCAGTTGTAGCTTTGGCACCATCACTTCCCATAGAAACAAGTTTCAGCACGTCAAGTCCTAATTTAGAGTATTGTTCAAGGATGGCATTCATGAGAGTCTCTGCTTTTCCATCTCTTACACTTGCGCAGCCAACAACATGTTTTTGTTTTTTTTACTTGATTAGCATTCTACCATTTGCTAACTCTAAGTGATCTGGATTTTTGTTCTGGTGTCTATCAATTGTACTATGTTGGTAATTTGTGCTACCACCATTTGCATAAGGGTTGTTCTTTTTTGCTTTACGGCACCATGTACAAAACAATCTACATTGTCCATTAACAACTTTCATTTCAAACCATTAACATTCTTCTAACCAATGATGTCTTGTGCGATTATTGATAGATATTGCAGTATTGATCACCATATTTCTACTGTGTGACTAATGCAGTAGGAGCAATTATTATACCCCCGCACAACAAAGTTGTAAGGGGGGTATACTGGAATCAGCTTGTCCGTCCGTCCGGCCGTCCGTCCGTCCGGCCGTCCGTCCGTCGGTTTTTTCTTGTCCGCCCAATAACTTAAGATTCCTTTGACCCTTAGTCTTCATATTTGGCATGGAGGTTAGTCATGATTAGTAGATGACCCCTATTGATTTTGAGGTCACTAGGTCAAAGGTCAAGGTCACAGGGGCCTTGACTTCAAAAAGCTTGTCCGCCCAATAACTTAAGATTCCTTTGACCCTTAGTCTTCATATTTGGCATGTAGGTTAGTCATGATTAGTAGATGACCCCTATTGATTTTGAGGTCACCAGGTCAAAGGTCAAGGTCACAGGGGCCTTGACTTCAAAAAGCTTGTCCGCCCAATAACTTAAGATTCCTTTGACCCTTAGTCTTCATATTTGGCATGGATGTTGATCATGATTAGTAGATGACCCCTATTGATTTTGAGGTCACCAGGTCAAAGGTCAAGGTCACAGGGGCCTTGACTTCAAAAAGCTTGTCAGCCCAATAACTTAAGATTCCTTTGACCTACAGTCGTCATATTTGGCATGGAGGTTAGTCATGATTAGTAGATGACCCCTTTTGATTTTGAGGTCACTGGATCAAAGGTCAACGTCATAGGGACTTTGACTTCAAAAAGTTTGTCCACCCATTAACTTAAGATTCCTTTGACCCACAGTCTTCATATTTGGTATGGATGTTGATCATGACTATAAGGTGACCCCTATTGATTTTGAGGTCACTGGGTCAAAGGTCAAGGTCACAGGGACCTTGACAAAAAAAAAGCTTTTCTTCTCAATTGCTAAAGAATGTCCTGTCCGCAATGTATTGATTTTGACATTTTCACATTTGAAGCATGTAGAATACATAACTTAGCAATGCACTGGCTTGGCTTAGTAACCTCAGATTTGGTAGGGAGGTTGTCCTTGAGCTCTAAATGGCCACTGTTGACAAAGTGGTATGCGGGGGTATTCACGCCATGATAGTGGCAGTTCTAGTTGCAATTATTTTTGCTTATTTTTGGTTATATTTGTGGATTGTAACTGTCTTTGCAATGTGTAAATTACTTTGCTTGTTCACTTCAAAATATTTAACTTTTAAATACATTTTCAAAATTTTCATGAAAATTAGCATTGATTTGGAGGCATGCTGCTTTAAAAATAAATGTTCATTGTTGTAGCATCAATTGTCATAGTCAGTGCCAAATGTTTTCTCTTGAATAGAATATGTTCTCTTGCAATTTTTTTTTTGAATTTGTAAACCAGTCTGTTGATATACTGGTTTATTTTATGAACTGGTTTCAAAACCAGCCAATGGCTGTAGTTCTGCCAGACTGGTCTACATGTTTAAATATTTTTGTTGTTGGAACTGTGCAATCTGTATTATGGTCAGTTCATCGTGAAAGATATGTGACAACAAAAGAAGCAGATGCCTGTTAAAAAATTAAATAAATCAAAATTAGTTTTATGAGATGTAATTAATAGTAAATGGTACTTTGTGTACCTTGCTAGTATTTTAATTACATTTTTCACAAATTTTTGTTTATCTTTTGTTGCCACATATCTGGTAAATTTGCATTTAGAGTTAGATTTACTATAGTAAATGTTCATTGCAAAATTTTGATCACTTAAACTCCGAGTTACAAGAATGTTATGAAAGGTTTTACAAACAGAATCTGTTATTCCAAAAGGCATTAGATAGTATTATAAATAGATTTTTTTAGCTCAACTATTCAAAGACTAGAAAGAGCTATTGTTCTCACCCTTGTGTTTGTTCGCTGTCACAGTTTGGTTAAGTTTTTTCATTGCAAGTTTGTATCTCCAAAACTATTGAAGGAAATGGGTTGACACTTCACAAGCATATTTTGAGAGCAGAATAGGTTACTTGCCAATGCCAATAACTCAAACATGAATTTTGAAAGAATTATGGCTGTTTTTGAACTTAGATAATTCTAAATCATCCAAGCACTTGTTTTACTATCAAGCAGTGAAAATAGTAGAGCAAGTTGTCCTATTGACAGCTCTTGTTTTAAATTTGAAATCGAGTAAGACTGTGCTGTATTATTAACACAGTTGTACAATTTTTATATGTTAACATAAATATGAAATTTTATATTTTTATTTTAGTAACAGATCTTTTAATATTTACAGTCAGGTTGATAAAACATTTTTACAACAACAACTTCTGTTCATAAGTCTTTATAGCTTCTTCCATTTTTTACACTTGTTGTTTATTTCACTAAGAACAAACCAAGCATATTTCTGAAGTTTTTACACTTCTTTCAATCATCTAACCAGTCTAAAGCATTTTGATTTTGATTGGTTCATATTAAAATTGACCAATCACAGAGTTGTATTTCTTCAGACTGGTTTCTGAAGTACAATTAAAAAATCATGGTTACAAGTACACAGTGATTTATTTATCACAACAAATCTAGCTTTAAGTATAAAAATGTTGTTATTTTGAATTCAAAATACATTGTAATCTGTTTGAAGTTGTTGTATTGAAAATTAGAC